TCATGATAACATTACTTGATTGGTTCAACCTTAATAGACACCAAAATCTTTTTTAAAGACGTTCAAAAGTTGTTTTCAATAAGTTTTTGCCTAAATTCGTCATCGGTTGCAAACTCCACTCCACATTTCCACATTCAAACCTCAAAATGCCACAACATCATCACTTTCTACCACCCTCAAAAACCCGTAGGTCAGTACTCCCCGCTGCGCTACAGTTCCTCCGCCCGAGATGGGATTTAAAGTCCAGAAAAATAGCACGAATTCTCTTGGAGTATTTAAATGGAATCCCCGCCATATTCAGTCAGGAATTTCGAAAAATACCCAAATAGAACCGACAGCTCAGACAGTTCACCCTATTTCCTCTAATAATGTCCATTCAGCACATCCTGGTGTCTGTCTTTTCTGCCTGTGTGTTTGGCTTTTGGCAGCCAGTCTAAATTTGCTAATTATTTTGATGTGCTGTGTGCGGATGGTTCTTCGTGTTTTCCGAGGGGGTGGGTTGAATGGTCGGGCGGTGAATTTTTCTGGGGCTGTCTAGAATGTCTAGAATCCTCTTCGATGCCTAGAAGCGTACAGCCATAGAGACAGACAGACAGACATAAAGACAGACGGTCAAACAGACAGAAATTCCAATCCAAATTTTGTTCCTAGATCTACCGAAGCTCTCCGGGGAATCCCTAGCATCCGTTAAAGGACATTTTCCCGGAAATTACTAATTTATATCCCGCTCTTCTTTTCGCCTCAATTTATTGGTTATAAATTTATTATACGTAGACGAACTATACGTTCTTGTTTTTGATCGACCGCTACTTTAGCAACCCACGCGAAGTCCATGTTTTATTTATTGAAATTTGTAAACTATGGCTAACAGCCAGTTATACCCTAAAAAGCGGGCAGCACGCGTCGCAAAATACGTAACAGAGAGTGTAAGGGATAGCTATAGATTTTGTTGCCCTGGAACCCATATAAATTTGACGGAAACTTCGCCACGGAACGCATCGGGATGCAGCTTGGTTGCGTAATGGATTACGGCGGATATTCCATGTACGCGTTGCGTGCGCGGCGTGGAGCAAACAATTTAAATCCTTCGACCCACAGTTTACAATTTTTCTGATCGTCTAGGGGGGGGGGGTGAATCCCGTAGGCAGCATCCTTGCGCCTACCTTTTGCTAGCATACTGTATAGGGGCGTCTCATAACGTATTTCGAGTTTTTGTAGTCCATTTTTCCATCTTTGTGGAAGCTTTAGCAAATTTTTCATTCCCTTCCTTCGAAATTTACGGACCCAACCCCTTTAAAGCTTGCGTTAAGCCTTGCGCAGCTAACCCAGTAGGCGTTCCGGTTTCTACCTGACCAAATCCGAAAAGCCATAGTTAAGGTAGAACCCAGCGTGCTGGCTTTGCTCGTCTCAACCACCTTTTCGGGAGCAAGAGATGAAGTGCTCGGTGCTCATCGAGATACGGGCATTGTTTCTTCAGTGCTTGGTTTGCTTTCCGTTTCGCCCCAGCCCCCTGCTGGACACTTGGATGGCTCGCACGGAGGGTGAGGAATGGCCCACCGACGGGAGCTGATCCTGGGCCCTAAAGGCTACTTTTACCCCTCTTTTCAAGACACCGCTTATCGCCATCAAGAAGTCATTTCATGCCCGTCAAAAGGGAGGGGACTCTAGGTGCACTAGGAGCACTCTACTACTCGTCCTCCCCGTGCAAGGAAGTACCCAGTCAGGTGGGGGTGGGGGCCCAGAAAATGTTCTTCTTTTGCTGCCTCCGATTGCTTCCGGAATCTTCCACCCTTGTGCGCCCTGATTTTTTCTGGTCGTTTATTGAAATGGCTTCTAGAGTCTGGACTCCATTGTGCTTCGAAAATCGTTGACCTCACGACGAGTTTTTCCTAATTACGCAAGAATTTTATTCAATTCCGTTCATTTTAAAGTGCTATAAAGGCTCTGAAGATATCTCTAACTATTTAACGCTACTAATGTTTTTGTTTTTGTTTCAGTAGAGGCAGGATTCAGTCATAAAAATTAAGATAGATTTCGTGCCCAAAGGGTATGTAATTGCAATTGTAGTGTGGTCAACCAGTTCAAAAAAACGAAAAAATAAAAAAAAAACCATGGTCTACAACTTATAAGACTCCGTACGAACTACCATTCCCCCAAAAAGCAAAAGACTTGCGTCGGCCGGGAATCGAACCCGGGTCGCCCGCGTGGCAGGCGAGCATTCTACCACTGAACCACCGACGCTTGACAGGGCGTGACAGGGCCGGGTACTAGAAGGGTGGGAGCCCCACGGTCGCCAATTGGGCGATTGGGATTAGGGCTCGATGTCTAGGCAAAAGCCACATATTTTCCAGCTTTTATTTCTGTTTTTCCATGAAAAGGTATCACTACTACAACAATGCTCAATTAAGGTCTCCTTTTGCCCCTTAAATATACCTTATAACGAGACCAACAATGAATCCCGTGTTTTTTAGAACAGTTTTAAGCCAGTATTTACCCCTTTTTAACGATGTTTTTCCTTTTAAAAAATATCGGTGCGTAAAACTACAGATTTCGGGTATCAACTTTGTTTTAAATAGATCTTAAAATTTACCAGCATGATACCTTTGTCAGACTAAGCTTCCGGCTTGTACCCACCCAAATTGCGTGCCTTCCGTGCCTTCCCATTTTTGCCGATTGTTTTTCGGTATTACGGGCCGATCCGGGGATCCTCCATTCTAAATCCTGTCCTCTGCCTCAGTCCTCGTCTCGACTGGGGGAGACCCACCATATTGTTTCCATTAGGTGGTTTATGCCCCGACTCGGCCCGCCGGTCGCCCCCACCGGCGACTCCGGAAAAAGCGAAATCGTCCCGAACCCTGCTGGGGGCCCCCGCAGATTTTACGGGGTATTTTTAGAACGTTGTGCTCCAGAGGGTAAAGGTTTCAATTTTTATCGTTCACATGCGGCAGGAGAAAAAGATCGTTTGGATTCGGAAACGGCAGTTCTGGGTCGAGTTCGGGAATCTGACTTGAGCCCGATGTCAGATTTTGGCATTTCCGGCAACGGTATTTCTAGCTCGACTGGGCCGTTTTTCCGTTTTTTTTTCATTCTTGGCGCTTTAGGCGAATTTCGCAAGTCTACGCAGATAGGCTAACAGCAATCTTCACGGGGTCTGCGTTTTTTGACTAAAAGGTTTTGATCAAATTTGATTTTTTTAACTGGAATTTTTAGTTAAACTATATTTTGCTCGTAATTTGGGCCAGTTTTGGAACCTATGCTCTTTCGCTAAATATTATTTCTGATGTTATCCTTACTCTTATTGGCGAAAACAGCGGTTTTCAATGGGAAACTCTCAGCAGAAAAAAGCCTAAGATCACTTCTAAGCGCTAAAATCTGCTCTACATACGTTTAAAATTTAAAAAACAGATTTTTCATATCCTTAAGCTTTCGATGAATTATTTTCCACCCCCCAGATCCACCTATGAATAACCCTCGATTCATTAGACCATCCGCCAGATCCTCGCCCATTCCACGAAATCAAATTTGAGCATCCGGCCTGCGCCGGTCCGAATCCGGATGCAATATTCTCGATTAAAGCGCTGCTAATGCGTCAGCGAATTACCGGACCGTGCCTCAACCAAGAACCGAAAAGCGTTAATTTTTAAAATGTTTTGGCCCGTCGCCACATAGCCGGTTGCAGGTCAAGAAGCATTATTCATAAGAATTGGCCATTCGCCGGGTTTAATTCGAATTTGCCCCAATTTTTCTGATTTTTAAGACTTCCGCGATACTTTTTGGCTGATATTGAGGTTTTCCCACTGTACCTTTTCAACTGATGCAAATTCGGCTTGGATAAAGCGAAAATATACTAGTTAAAAATTTTTATGTTATTCTTGAATGTTTAAAAGCTAGATTTTTATGCAATTTTTCGCATTTCTGAGAGCTCTGCAAAATTTAAAAGTTTTTGCATCGTCTCTTCTTTGATTTTTTCAAATATGTAGTTTCCGTTCAAACATTGTCCAGAAAACACACGAAATTTGTTGTTTTCAGCGAAAATGGACACCACACATCCTCCAAACTTTTTCGAAGCATCACCATCGTCGTCATTTTTTGAACAAGATCTTCTCCCGACTACGGTAGCGCCGCCACGAACGGACGCTGTTTCGCTTGGAGAGGTACGGTATAGAAATTCGAAACTGATAATTAGCATATAAGGTACCAGATCTTATTTTGACCGTTTAGTTAATTTTCTACACCGGTTCTGGGGTTAGCGGGACGCTGCTCAACATCCTCGTCTTATTTATTGCTATTCGGCATATTGACACGGATGATAAGCCAAGACAGGTGAGAAAGAGAGCGAGAGAGAGAGAGAGAAGAAAAAGAACGAGAGAGAGAGAGAGAAATAGGTGATATCCACAAACTCTTCGTTTCTAGATCCTAATCATGAACATGACTTTCGCCGACCTCGCTTTTTGCCTTGTCTACGTTGTCACTCGGCCGTTCCTACAGTACTTCCCAGCAGATACTTGCCGTGCTTACTATTTTGCAATTTGGCTGGTGCAAATGTGCAGCTGTATTTATTTGTTGTGGTAAGTAAAGGAATTACCGTTGCTTCAAATTAATTTACGGCATTTTCCACAAAACGTTGAAGGTATTAGACGCAGATCTTCAAGGTTCCTAAAGCTAGTTAAAGGGCTAGTTCAGCCAATAAAACAAAAGAATTTCCGCGGCCAGGGGTCGAATCCTCACTGCGTTTTTGTGTCTGCGCTTCTCTCCCCCGATCTCTAATAGCTGTCGTAATGGGGGACTGTTCGGGCGCACCGTGCCTACGTCCATAGTTTCCCAAGGTACCAGTCCAAGCTCTAAAAGTTGAACTAGCCCTTTAAGTGCGTTTTAGGCTGAACGTTGACAAGCTGCTCTACATCCAGTTTCCGCTCCACTACTATTCGATGGTCAGCCGGAAAAAATTCCTATTGTTGACGATTGCAACGTGGATGTTTCTGATCAGCTTCATCGGCTTGATGAATTATTTCTTCCGGGTTGGGGTGAGTGATTTTTGGCTATGTGCTTCCCAGCCCCTTTAATCCCTAAATATCGTAATTGGAAACTGGTTCAAACATTTTTACCGATATAGCTTTAAGGGCCAGCAACATCCCCCTTTAATACGAAACAAATTCTTTCTTTTTCAGAACAGCTGTTTGGAAATTTCCTTCAACGACCACACCCTCTACATCATCATGTGCTTCTATTACCTGGTGGTGATCGTTGCTTCATTCTCCATTTCGGCCATCATCTATTGCATCGCCCAGACGACGACTAGGATGGAGCATCGGGCACGAACCGTAGGTTTTTTTACACATGCGCAGCTTCAAAAAATGCTCAAAATTTTACCTACCTTGCGTGATAGATTGGCTTTCGGGTTTAAAACTATTGATTGACTAATTGATTCAAAATAACACGTTTCGACAAAGTTTACAGTAGTAGCTTTTAAGCTGAGTATTGCCTAAATCGAGTTTCCAGCTAAATTAAATAACAATTAAAACGCTTACTAACACCAAATTCTTTTGCAGTTTTTCAAAAATAATTATTTCGTTTTTTCATTGCTAATGGTGTATGCCTGATTCACGTTTAAAAATATAAATATAACATTATCATTAACACTATAACATTTTGCGACAAAAATTCGCCTAACCCAATTAACTGGAGCTTTCCCATTTCCCAGGGCCGCGCCAGTATCTATCCCGCTAAACCGGATCAGGTAATTCCTACAAACAAATCATTCCAAAGCGAAAATTGCTTGTGTTTTACATCATCCCGTCAGTGGTTCGACAACCCCCGCGTGGTTTTGCGGCTTCTCCCAGTGATACCATACCGCCTTGCTAACCCCGAAAATCTGAGTGCTACCCCAAAAGCGTGTTTCCTTAGAAGTGCAGTGACTTACCCCAAATCCCCCCGATTTGCATGGCGTGTGCTTTGATTTGAAGTGAATCCCCTAGGTTGTTTGGACCCAGTTTTGTATATATATTTGTCGTTTCTGATTAAAATCTAAATTTCAGAAGCTCTTCCAACGACTCTTCTTCCTATTTTCGTCAACATTGTGGACGTTCATCACCTGCGTCCCGTTCAGGGTGCTCTTTTTGGTGAATATGATGTGTAAGTTTCCAGCAGTCGTTAAAAAGATATGGTTAGGAGTTGAGGCTTAACTTAGGCTTAGCTTAGGCTTAGATTATAAGGCTTAACTTAGGCTTAGCTTAAACGTAGCCTAGGCTTACAAGGAGTGCTTTTTTTGAGTCATCTGCAAAACCTTACGAGACCTAGCTCATTCCATAGAGAATTCGATTCTGAACAAAATCCCGTTGTTCTTTTTTGCAGAATGGCTATCCCTGATTTTATAAAATTGTAAAACTGCACCCAAAAGCCTCTCTTTTGGCTCGAAAGGCACTCATGGTAAGAGACGGTCACTAGTATTTTAATTTTATAAAATCAGGGATAGCCATTCTGCAAAAGAACAACGTGGTTTTATTCAAAATCAAATTCTCTATCGAATGAGCTAGGTCTCGTAAGGTTTTGCCGATGACTCAAAAAAGGCACTCCTTGTTAGCTTAGGCTTCGCTTAACTTAGGCTTAACCTAGGTTTGGCTTAGGCTTAGCTTAAACTTGGCTTAGCTTCGGCTTAGCTTAGGCTTAGGCTTAGCTTAGGCTTAGCTTAGGCTTAGCTTAGGCTTAGATTATCAGGCTTAACTTAGATTTGACCGAGGCTAAACTTGAGCTTAACTTAGGCCTAGCTTAGGCGTATCTTAGGCTTATCTTGGCTTAGCTTATCTTGGTTCGCTGGCGTTTCAGGAGCTGCGAGTAGCTAGCAGGGATCTTTCCATCCATTTTACAATTGACATCTGCTTTTTAGTCGGCGTCCGGAGTGAGTGGCAGCGACTGCTGACTGACGTCTCCTTCAAATTGCTCGTCAGTGGAAGCATTGTAAATCCGGTGATCACGATCGCTACCCAACGCATCTATCGCGATCGACTCATCAAATATCTTGGGTTGTTCAAGGAGGTGAGTAGATACTCATTTACGGGAATTAATTGAAAATAGTTGAACGTGAGTGCCATAAAGATATTCCTGTATAATCCAAAGTTTTAAAACTTCAGTTTATGGCATAACCTCCCCCTTACGTTTTTTAATTGCCACTTGAAAGTGGCGATTTTTCAGTGCAAACTAGCAGAGGCAATGCCAATACATTTTAGGTAGTCTCCAAAAACAGCACCACTTCCGGTTTTGACGACAACTCGCTGATGGATAAGCGTCGCCAATCCTCGAAAACTACGATTATCTTGGAAAGTGCCCCGCTTAACATCCCGTCAACTGCCCTTTAACCCATTTCGCACTCATTTCTATCAGACCAAATATCCGCCAGATCTCATCACCACACTTTTATACCCCTTTTTCTACCACCAATAACTCATATCACTCTCGTCTCTACCGGTCCCCACCCAACTATTAGTTTCCGGTCGTTCGTTTCTTCATTTTTCTCGCAAAACCATTGATCTCAAATCACTCGCCGTGTGCATAATAAATATTGATTTTTTGGGGTATATTTAATGAGAACTGCATTTTTTTGGTACCTGGATCAACATAATTTATCAAAAAGAACAGTCGAAGTTTTTTCAAGCTTGCGTCAATTTCTGGAGTCGACGCAGCATCTCCTGGCCGTAGGCGGAGCGGACGTGGACCGGGAACATTTCTTGGAGATACGGGGCTGAAATTAGCATCTTTATAGATTTTTAATGATTAACTCAGATACTATTAGGTTGGAACATAAGTTCGCGCAATCGAACTTCGGAAATTTCTTTCTGAAAATTTAGTGGCCAGATTCCGATATTCTCTCCTTTGCATATATCTATTGGGTTCATGAGTATGTGGGATCATAATTACAGGTTTTTAGCCCCAGTAGTTTTAAAGATTTTTGCGTTTCTCTCGAGGGCACTTCAAATTTTTGACCCGGACATCTTTCCGAAGCGCCATAAAGTCACCATCGAAATTGATCATCAATCTGATAATAAGTTGTATCTACTGGCTGCATGCCGAATTAGCCTAAAAAGGAAGCCAAATTTGTTTTGTAAAGGCGGTCCGAAGCGATTTTTCATTTTCGCTTAAATCTAGCTTTAAAAAATTCTAATAGGGAAGCAACGCGATTCCGTCCCACACATCGAATAGAGAATTTTATTGCATATCCGTTCATCCAAAAAACATTTTGGTTCTTGCCCGTTTTCCGGTCCGAAAAATTACAAAGAAAGGAAAATATTGCGCGAACTTTAGTTCCAACCTAATACAATAAGAAAAGTGAAAATCAACTTTTTGGTTTCGATTTGACTAAATTACGATATCAAAATAGCCAGAAATGTTTGTTAGAATATCAGTAAAACCTTGCCAAACATATTCCCCAAAAAGCAAAAAGGAAGGTCCCGGGGAGTTTTGAACTCCCGTCGCAGGATTCAGAGTCCTGAGTGCTAACCGCTACACCACGGGACCGGGTGGTGGCGGGGTGGGAAGAGGGCGCTATCAGCGGAGGGGCTACTCCGCCGCTCGGCGCCTGCTCCGCCGCTCGCCGCCAAGAGGCAGGGGTCGTCTGCTAACGTCTTTTCCTGTCGTAATGGACTAATAACAGACACCGTTTCAGTTTTTGACAAAAGACAGCGCTTTACAAATTTAAATTACAGCTTTATCAATACCTTTTTATTAATATTAACAGCTTCAAGGTATACAAATCTCTCTAGCAAATTAAATTCAGCGGATTTTGTTAGTTTACGCGATTTTTGGTTTTTAAGATTGCAACTTCACTTACAACTCCTTGGAACATCGACTGAAGGAACGCCAAGTTCTGCGAACGAGTAGTATTTTCGGGAGAAAGGGTTCATCTCGGCCGCCCGGCGATAGAGCTCATTTGTAGGCTGCTGCGCCGGAATCGAGGCTAAATTTGGGGCGCTGTTTGTCAACAAAGCTGTTTTGCAGGAAGTTAGCATTAAAGCTACGTATTTGTGTGGCTTTTTGCTATATAAAAAATGAAAAAGGAAAGAAGGAAAACTATTCAAAAACTTAGAAAAATTCTTAAAGTTTGAAGTTTTGATAGAAAACCGGCACTACCTACCTAAAAAAATCCGCCAAATCAATGACGCATACCAATTATTAACAACGCTTTTATAAAATTGCTTAAGAGAGAATTTCCTACCTGCAAACAGTTCCGCGACGCAAACCGCCGCCAAGAAGCCGATCATCATCATGCTGCTGCCCATTTTCTGTTTCACCCGGAATTCGCCTACGAATGAGAAAATGGTGAAGCGCAACCTGAGCGGAAGCATTTCAAATCTAGCGAGGGCTATAATTACAGCAAATTACAGACTTTGACGAGCCGATACGCGGAAAGTGAGACGCGATGAATGATCGGCAACAAGCCTAATGGCTAGTCTGAAGCATGACAAGAGCAAAACCCCTGTAATATGGCCGTTTAGCTGAACTTGATGGGACTAGAAAAATACTTGCAAATTTGAAAAATAGATCCGTTTCTGTGGTACAAGCCACAAAATTCGCTAGAACTCGGGTTTTTTACTAGTCAATTCATTATTCCAAAAAATTCAGGGTAATTTACACTCCCAGGGATTTTTTTGAGTTTTACAGCGCATTTTGACACATTGCAATCGGACAATTGACATGACAAGGCAGTCAAAAAGCAAAAAAGCAAATGCAAGAAGCGGACGCACGAGGTCAAAGAATTAGAGCCAGAGGGATTAGATACCTCGACACCAGAAGCCGACTCAAACGTCAAAGAGGCAAGGAAAGAAGCAAATTACAATTGTGTGACGTGTGAAAGCGAATCATAGTCAATTTGGATGCTTTACATTCTCGGCAATGGCTTTCCAGGTAATAATTTATCGCAAGTTACAAGAAGGGCGACGGGTCGCATGACTTGGTTTGAAGCAAAGTCATAGAAGCCGAGCCTGAAAAACAGATCAAGGCGATAACTTTTTAAAAGAAGAAGCCGCAAAGTCGCAAGAATTCTACTGTAGTATTTATATCTTACCCCGATCACATGAAGCTCATAAAGTAAGGCAAAAGAGGGGCGATTAACCCAGACGCTACTGTGATATTTTATGGCGCTGCGCTTTGGTTTTTTATAGCTGTTGGTGCAAAATTTGGAATATCTTATACGCCATGAGGTTCTAGCCAGCAGAAAAGAGGCTCTGGCCGCAAGCTTTAACCCCTTGCCAAAAAGCGCGTGTTTTTCGAGCTTTTCGTACTATTGTGTAGTGGCAAAAAAGCAAACCAAAGTCCAACCTTCCGCTTTTTTACCTCTAGCTACCACCTAATTGGGTTTGGCAGGTGCCCCCACGCCACTTTTTACTCCAACGGCAGGTGCCGAGATAAAATGGCCGGAAGCCCTTTCTCGGGCTTACTACTGTGCCGCCAAAAAAACACTCTCTTCAATACCAATCGTAAAATGATGTTGCTTACATCATCAGCACCTTTTGAATAGGCAGTTTTTGAACCCAATTGAAATTAGTAGGGCGATCTCGAAATTTCGAAAAATTAGGGGGTTAGACTTTCTGGTAGTTTGTTGCAAATAGGAACAAGGCGGGTTCGAACAACGAGGGGAATTTTACATTCTCAGGGCAATAAGATATTTTGGGTAAATGTGACTATATTTGTAAAGCGTGTGAACAGCCAGTAATATAGAAAGTTTTTTTGGGCGAATACGAACCCCAAAAATAGGTTCTTCTCATGAAACTAAAAACCGTTTTGGTCTTTGCCAAATGCAACAAATGCTGTGAGCTTTTGTAGTGCGAAATCGGCAAAAATACGCTTGACCTGGAAGGCATCATTATATGCAGGAAATTCTCGGAATCCTTTTGCAGGCGCGTGCAGGAAGTCAGTTTGCAACGAGTGAAAAATGTCCCGGATCTGCGGAGGATGTCAAAAAAGCAAAATCAGCCCGCATATGTGATAAAATTAAGCACTAAAAAGTGTTACTTTATTCGCAAATAAAGCAGAAGCATATCAAGGAACAAAGGAGAGGGGGTCCGCACTTGCAAAAACGCGCTATTTGTTAAAGGACCGAGCAAGTAAAAGCATTTGATTTACGGATTTCCCGGGAATTTCCAACCCTTCCATTGCATAATAGCTTCCAACCCCTTCAAGCCCGCCGCGAGACTAGCGCGAGATTGTCGCAAGAGCGGCCAAAGTTTCATGCGTTACGTGCCGCGGGTACTGCAAAATCCATATCAACGTCATAGTGACGTAATCCCGCGCCAGCGTCAACAAATCAAATAAAGAGCACAGAAAAATGTCAATTTTAATTTTATTTTATTAAATCCAAATCAGCTTTAGCAGTGTATCTCGGCAATCTCAGGGACATCATCAATTTTCGGGATTGACGCATCACATAAAGACATTGGCTGATGGACCAGTGGTAGTTGGTTTGAGTTTTTGAAGCTTTTCTGAGGACTCCTCGGATCAGATGAGGCCGACTTCTTCGGACTCCGCCCCACCTTTTCTGTTTTCGCCGCCGAGCAGATCTGGGCGGCCTTTGACGGCGACGAGGAGACCTAGAGCATAATAGGACTGGATTTTATGCACTTTAAATTTGATTTTGCTCGGCTTTTCAAGGCTCGCTAGACCCAAAAATTCGTATGTACCTAGAATTTGACAACAACACCTGTCTACATATTGGTCACTTCTATTTTTCCCCCTTAATATTAAATTATAGCGGCGCTTTTCAGGAACTTTTCGGTCGCCTGGGCATCAAAAATGTACACACGAGACTCGCCAAAAAACATGTTGGCGTTCCTTCCCCGGGAGTTAGACGCGAAAATTTGATCCCAAGGAGTTGAAAGAAACCTATGATTCCGATGCCATCTTTGCAACAACACGAAGAAGTTCAAAACGTCTCGGAGCTACGTGTAAAATGGCCTTTCTGAATTGAGACGGCTGCCTCGTTTTATTCTTTTATACTTTCTAGGTATACTTTTGGCCCTCGGCGTCTCAAAGAATTCAAAAACGATAAACTACGTAGCGATAAACACCCTCAATTACGTGATAATTGCTTGGATAGTCTGTAATTTACAAAAGAGCCAACGACGCTACTTCTTGAACACTAAAATGGAATTCAAGTTCCTCATTTTTGCACTGTAGCGATCGAGCAGATGCTCAAATTAACGTAACGGCTTTGACGTGGGTTTCCGGGTTCCGAAAATATCTTTGATTAGATTACTAAAAACACGAAATTAACGCCATAGTCGCAGAACCTGCCTTTGTAAAGTACGTTAGAGCGCGCTAGCGTTAAAAATGTTTTAAACATCTTGTATGCATACCTGAACAAAACGACCGGTGTCCGTACTGCGTACTGCAAGGTAACCTAAGGTTCCATTATCAGAGGCTTGCAAATAAAAAGGAAAGGTAACGCCATTAAAAAAATCCAATGAAAAGGCACGCTTTATCACCATTAATGTGGCAACTTCGTTTGGGAGTCAAAGTTACCAAGTCCATAAAATTCGATAGATAAAGTTTCTCAGGGCCGCCATCTGGATTTTCCACAACGGTCAAAGGGTGCAAGAAACGTAATTTTCCTACGTAATTATTAAAAAAAACCAGCGCGAAGGTTTGGAGTATAGGGAAGCTAAAGTTTTGTTAATACGGGGTGGTATGATAAAGTTATTGAATGCAAGGAAAGAACGATGTGCAAAAATTCTTTGGTCCATGCCAAAATGAACCCAGCGCGCAACATCCGGATGTCACATCAGGAAGTCTTCAAACAGCCCCATCATGAAAAGTGACCACAGGATAGAAAAGGACGCCAACGCGCGCGCATACTCTATACACTTTCCAAAGACCCATACATCATATTTTTCTGAGCCTCTAGGCCAGGGCCAAAAGCGCGTAATTGAATGCGTTGGGGAGATCGAGATCGGTGCGGCCCGGAATGGGCAGGGATGTAGCTCAGCTAGTTCCGCCAAAACTTGGATGCCGTGACCCCCAAAACGGCATAATTATTCAAGCACTTCCCACATGCCTCGTAAAAATAAACACCCAGATTTGGGGTCGGGGCTCGGGTTCTCGCGTCATTGGTAATACTAATACTAGTAGTTGGTTGGACTGGAATAGATGGGATAAAAAGCTGGGCTGGGTTGGTCTGGTAGGAACTTTTTTAAGCGAAGAACCTCAGAATTGACCAGAAATCAATTACCCCATATAATCTATTAATCAAAGACGATTTCTACTGAATCATGAAAACATTGGCCGAAAAATTCGTGGTGATAATTTAACGCCATAGAAAAACTATAATTAGCGTTCCTCTGTACAAACGCAGAACGTAGAGAATTTACAATTACAAAATATCTTGGAAGCCCTTCGAAAACGTACCTTAAATTTAGATCAAAGCTATAAATTTTTCCAACCTCATGAAACCAAAAAGAAGCGCCGCAAGGTTTGTGACTTAAAAATGCCAACCTAATCTCCCAAAAATCATCAAATATCGTCCGTTAATTGAATGGCAAGTGCTATCATAAAATCTAAGCAAAATAATACTAAAATCTTCGGGTTTCTGCAACATCTAGAGATTGAAAATTGCCCTCCAAGCTTCTTTGGAAAATTCTATGCCCTGGGGTGAACGTCTGCGTGCAAGAGGTCTATTTTAGAGCCCGATACAATTCGGAATTCGCAAGCCTACTTCAATGCCGTCATCGTCGATTCAACTCAAAGTCCCTCGCATTATAACCGCCCAAAAGAAGGCTTTCAGAACGCTCGCCCGAAATAAGGATTTCTGCACGCCTGAGCCTTTCTCATGACAGCTAATGAATTGAAACGCTCAATTTTAATAGGATTAAAGCCGTTTGAGCAATTTGTTTACGTTTCGGCGATTTTAAGTTTTTAAGTATAGTACCTTCTCCATTTTTTGCCCCTTCTCCAGCTTGTCAAAGTGGTTCTGATGACCACCACAAGAAATTTCTTCTGGCGTCCGGAAAAACGACTTTGTCCTCTGGATATAGTCATGACAATTTCGGATCACCAAAAAGGCATAGATCTGAAAATCAACGCTTGATTAAACCGCTAAAACCGCACCTTCAGCAATGAAAATATCAATAGGAAAAGCGCCTTTCCGGTGGCATATCTCACCAGCGGCTTCTCGTAGGAATTTACTTAAAAATTATTTTTAGCAAAAGGGGTCTTCTTACCATTTCCAACAAATATGCATAAAAATAAGATAACAAAGAATGAGGTAAGGAAAATAGCAATCCGAATACATAGGCCACACATGTAGACGATCAGTAGGGATAATCGGAAATCTCTGATACCTAAAAAATGAGGGTAACGAATAATTTCATGGTGTAACTGATTGGCTCTACCTTTCATCAAATGAACGACCAGTACGATTTGTAATAATACGGTTAGGAAGCCAAGGAATATGTTCATCGGTGACCAGCCACCTAAAAAAAGCCGAATGCGTTTAGAATTCAAATACCAATTTTTAGCTTAAAAATGACGTGAAGTATTAAACATAAAATGCCGTTCAATTTTAAATTAATAAAATTATTATGGTGACGCTTTTATGAAGATTTTCATTACCTGTGACAGCTTGCGCTGCCCAAAAGGAAGCCTGCGTGGTAATCCATAACATTTCGCCGTAAGCTATCCACATGGAACCGGTCTAGAAATATCGTGACGACATTAATTGGCCCTGTTATTTAGTACACAAGTTCCAAATTACCTACAGGGTGTCCCAAAACCCCCCCTCGGCATTTGGCCGTCTTCCATCCAATCGGGACCAAATTTTTACCAGTGATGGGGACCCATAAAAACTATGTGCAGCCGAATTTTCTAAGCAAAATATTGTAAAACAAAAAAGATATATCAAAATTAAGGTTTATTTTGCCGATTTCACTAGGATTTTGACGGATTTCGGCCTCGAAATGTTTAGCAAAACAGAAGAGGGCACTCTTTTCTACCTGTAGAAATTTTTTGATTTACGAAAATTACGTTTAAATTGGGCCTTTTGATCACTTTTATTATCGAAATTGCCAGAAACTGACCGAGAAATGACCATTTTTTTGGAAAATTACTCAAAATCGGCATGCTAATTGCGAAAACATAGCCAAAAACGAGTACCAGCGTTTTCCAAAAATCAGTTTATTAGCGATAACTTTTTGGTTTTACAATATTTTGCTTAGAAAATTTGGCTGCACATAGTTTTTATGGGTCCCCATCACTGGTAAAAATTTGGTCCCGAGCCGATAGAAGACGGCCAAATGCCGAGGGGGTTTTTTTTGGGACACCCTGTAGTAATAGCTTATAACTACTCACCCGAATATGCATAATCTTGAAACAGCAAACAGGTGACGGCAACTCCCGAGGTTTGGGGTAAACACCAAATGCCGATGGGGAGAGGGCTTTTTCCTTCGGGATCATCATCTAAAAAGGAAAGAAATGGCTCTCTAGCGAAAGTATGAGACTGGAAAGCCTGTTTTTTTTGCTGACTACTCGCAGATTTCATGCAAGAAAACCACGCAGTTCGGCATGCTCTTGGTCGTAAACTAACTCCCCTACGATACGCTCCAAAATACACCCATATCCCATCAAAATAATTAATAAAATTACGCACAAGCGCCTCGGGGCTAAGCAGCCCGAGGATGATGTGCTGGCGGATGGCGTCTTCCATTCTGCTCTCTTTCTCTCCTTCGCTCTCTCTCGCTTTCCCCGTTCTTTCGCCCCGAACGACGGTCCTATTTATGGGCGAAATGGATTCCGGAATTGGGGGGTTTCTGGAGCAGCACATGGAGGCAGAGAGAGGCGTAAAACGGAGCACCAACATCCCCTTTTTTTGAGCGAAATGCCTGGAGGGCACACTGCCCCACAAGGGCCCCAGGTGGTGGTTGTGGAATGAGCAATTGGGACCGGGAAGCTGGTAGAGGGGGATTTACTAGGGTAAATACCGTGTTTTGTGGGATTTTTCAAGAAGAAGACCCTGTGTTCGAATTAGATATTGGCTTAAGTCTGAGCCACATCCTGTTTCAAAAAGTGTGTTAGGTGCTTGTCAATTTAATTAATGTCCCGGTTTCCCGACCCATGAGGTGTTTGGTATTCGGTGGTCGCGCTGGGCGGATTGTCCAGCCATGGCCAGGTGGCTTGTGGTTGGCCTACGCCCTGTTTTTAATCATCTGAAGCATAATTCACTGCTTCTTATTATGTGGATTTATTTCAGTGGGTTTGCCTTGAAATGATCGACGTACCTATGGTCAATCAACACAATAATAGGACTACACAAATCGTAATTTGTAAACCGCCGCAACAAAATTGAAAAAGTTGTAGACGTGCCTGTTTCGCGGTTCTCAAATTCTATAAGGGCCTTCCGGAAGTATGATTGGCGTTTCCCCGGCGAGAGAGTGAAGGCGAATTTAATTAAATTTCTAGAAACATTTATCGATCTTTTGAACCCGGGTGTTCTTAGAATTTTTTCTCTATCGAATTAGCTAGGTCCCGTCCAGAAACTCCAAAAGCACCTAAAAGCGACTCCTTGTTAATTGACAAACGAGGCTGTAAGGAAAATTTTTTAAAGTAGACGCATGATTTCTACTTCCTGAAATCCTCTCCCTCCCACAATCGCTATTAGGGCTTCTGACTCAATTCCCTGGCTTTTTTTGGCTTGCAAAAAACGAGCGAACACCCGAAGAGGGGTAAAATTTAATTTGCCATTCCCGGCTTTTGGGTGGGTAAGATGATGATGGGGTAGAAAAATCACGAAATATAGGAAAAGGCTCAAACTCTTAAAGAGGCACTTAAAGGGAAGGGCAAGATACGAGAATAAAAAATAACTGTGGACGGCCCAGGAATTTTGTCGCGTCCGTGACACGCGACACGCAACCCGCCCGCAGCGCTTTGCAACCATATTTTGCAATCTAGCAAAAAGTGAACAGAAATCTTCAACGTGCGCGTCGCGTGGCGCGTTCGCGGCAAAATCGACGAGCAATCCGTGGCACCAAATCCCATAAGTTTATTTTGCCAGCAAAGAGCAGATCAACAAAGTGAAAAGGACGTTCCTAAAACCCGGAAATGGCAGCGCGCCAATTTTTGGATTTATGGCCGTTATGTGGGAGCGTGGAGGAACCTAAAGTAGATGATCGGAGGTGCTTTTCGGGTCCGTTTCCTTTTCGAGGGTCTCTCCAGGGCCAGAATATTCCCATGGGAGCCCAAAAGATGCCCCCGAAAACGGCTCCCAAACATCCAATCACTGCTCAATTACTGCGGGAAAACAGTGGAGGGTTCATGGAATCCGGACGGGAAATTCTAAGTGTTGTGAATGATGGGTGCTTGTTGAGAGGGTAAGATGCTCATTGGTTTAGGGAAATAAATTCGATTCAGGCAATGGGTAGTATGATAATCCCTATATAGAGCTACCGTAATTGTCTTAACGAATAGCTTTTCCTAGATGTTCTATCATAAAACCTGCTGTAATATAAACTGGCTGCCACGACTGTGTGGAAATACATCTGTTTTTGATCGTGGGAAAGCTTGACTAATTTTTTTGAAGTCATGCAAATTAAAGCGTCTCAAAATACGCAATTTTCCGCGGAAAAATAATTTAAGTTGTTAAGCTATTGGATATCTATATGTCGGACATTAGCGTTCGTAACCCTAAGGCTTTTGCACGCGTTTCTTGGTGCGCCGCGTAGCTGCCGAGACCTAAAAGACACAAAGGGTTGGTTCTTGCGTTCCGTAGATTAGTTGGAAGGTATCAAAGTCTTCAGGGCACGCATTAAGGAAGAAGTGAAAGAATCCTTTTCCATTGACTGCGTCGCGTCAGCTACATAATACATCAAAACACGACATGCAAAAGAATTGTAATCACTTTCGGATTTGCGCTCTAACTTTACGTTTCTGTTGTCATTCAAATGTTTGAAAAGATGTAGATATCTAGTCGTTACTGGTAGCGTTTGACACCTAGCACCGTAACGTACGCATTAAATACAGTGACAGCAACCGCGTGGAGGGAGCGTCGCGTTTGGCCCGGCAACCGGCTGCCGGTTACTGTATTCAATGCATACGTCACGGTGCAGCGAATTTAGCGGCTCATTGAGATTTTTATTTCGCGCGTCACGGACACGGAAAATTCTAGGTGAAATCCACGCTATGTTTTAGCTAAAAAACTCATAAAATTGGTGGATTATGGGACCGAAAGACATTTTCGTTCAGTTGATGTTCTTAAGCTTTTTATTAATTTTAGCATAATTCTGCAAAAAGCGATGTAGCCAAGCCAAAAAACAGCATAAACTGCATGCCAGACAAACGCCATTCGCAGCCGCCATCTCATGCGCCGAACCACCAAATAGATGGGCCGATTCCCGAAAACAACGAGGGCCCATTTCGGCCGCCCCACCAATTTTCCAAAGCATAATACGAACCCCCTTCCTCAAAAAACGACCTACCCGATGATAGAAGGCTGTGGTGAATCGTCGAACGATGTCCATCCCTTCCGAAAAGCCTGCCCGGCTCCGGGCTATTTGGGAGTTGAATCGATGGCCGAAATGCCTTTTTTAGGGGCTGTAAATGAGGAGCTGGTGGCGCTGAAATTGAGCACGAGTGAGTTCGGGCCCGGCCCGAAACTTAGGGTTTTTCGGACCCGGAAGGAGCCCGGGGTGAAAGGTGTTAGATGTGTCAGGGGTAAGTGCATGGCAATAAACGAATTCCACGAGCACTAGAATTCCACTTACTTCGAGGTGTTCTAATTAGCTCTAGCAAAACAAAATAACAAAAACCAAAACTATTAAAACAACGAAAAAACTAAAAACTTTGTGTTTGAGAAAATCGGTTTAGCTTCGTTGTTTGGAAAAGCCTTAAACTGGAAGATTCAAAAAAATTAGAAAAACTACATATTTAGATTTTAAAAAAGCAGTAAGATATATTTAATAACAGCAAAATTGGGTTAAAATAATAAAATAAACATTTTTAAATCTTGCAAAAATTCCGAAAAAAAATGTATGAAATAAGAACTTAACCAGCGCACTCAAAATCCGCTAACTCATCATAAAGCTCTTGATAAATATTCTTGAGGGTTCGGAGAAGCGGGAGATTGATGAATTTTGTGACTCTTTTCGAGGAACAACTTCGGTGAAAATCTTGGAAGAATTCTAAGGGATTTTTGAGCTCTCGTTGCTTCCAATATTTATCAAAAAGCACGAAGAGCATAGAAAATTCTAGAATACAACAAAAGCCCCGGAGTTCGGAATAGAAAAGGCCGTTCGCCTCACATGGGGCATCATAAAACAGTAATTTTGAAAATTAACGTGAAAAATTCAGGTAGCGAAAACGAAAACGAAAGAGTGAGAGAGAGTGAGCAAGAGAGATGGCGAGCGAGAGAGCGAGCGAGAGAGCTAGTGTGAAAAAGAGAGCGAGAAAGAGATAGACAAAGAAATTTCAGAAAATCGATAAAAACAAACCTCACTAAAGATCAAACCCGAAAAACTAAAGCTTTCCAGCTCACGCATATCCCAGATCAACCCCAAATGAGGCCTATGCTCGTGGGGCGATGTCCCGAATCTTTTGTGTTGAATGCCGCTGGACACCCCTGGGTCTAATTGGTGGCTACGACTGGCCGGCTGATATGCATAAATGATGAGTTAGTCTCGTTGTGAGAGTGGGTCGCGTTGCTGTTGGCCAATGGTCTTTCTAGCCCTGGGGCCGCGCCGCGAGACTATCTTCACGGATGGGTTGTATAGTCGCCATTTTAATAAAAAGGATGGGAAATGGGTTTTGGGTCAATGATCAGTTTGGGGGACTAATAAAGGCACCCTTCAAGCGCTTTTGTAGGGCCAAATTTTTAGAAAAATGGAGTAGCGTCAGACTGCTATTGCATCAAAAGCTGGAGTTCAATTTTTAAACTCATCATCAATTCCTCGATCACCAGACGCATTAGCGAAAAATGGCCATTCGAAGTCATAGTCATCGAGGTATAAAAAAACATCAAGATAAAAAACCCGTGACCCTGTGACCAGAATTTTACACAGTATATGTCACAGACGACAACCCCAGGCAAGGGTTAGCCGGGGCAGTCTAGCAGAGGTTTCTGAGGGCCGTCAAGGATTTTGACGAATTTGGCTCGGGGTTGCTCAAAAAGCAAGACATTGTACTTTCTTTCGGAAGCGTTGTTGTATAATCTAAATTGTGAGTCATTAAAGGAGAAAAGAAGCGCAAGAATTGAAAATTTTAAAAATCCTAAGCCGAGCACGAATGTTCTCCCCAAATTCATCTTTTTGCTCGGATGGCCAATATCCAACATTTTCAGGTGGGTGCAGACCGCAGGTGGGTGAGCCAGCCATGCTAGGTACAATCCCTTGCCTTCCACATTCCTTTAGAATCTGAAATCTAGAACATCTCTTATTACGAGCCAACGATGGATGCCACACCAATGCCAGTTTACTTCATGATGTCCCGGTATCACCGTATTCCACGCTTCAATCCCTAGACAAGTTGCATCCGGGCATGCTTGACGAATGGCAGTTTGCCTCATCGCCCTACACAGCTGCTCCAGCAATAACGGAGCCACTCCGATTACCCAGTAGATAGGCGAGGAGCAGGTGAGTGAGTGGATTGGCGCGGGATGGGTTGATATTAAAGAGGTCCATTAGGGCCTTTCCGGTTTGGATTTGACGCCGAGGAGGGGATGGGGATGGGGGATGGGCAGGAGGAGGTGAGTGGGTCCGGCCACCACCATAGGATCGTCTACTGATTTACCAATCTCATCAGATATTTTCCTAGGATTTCCATAGATTACCCGCCAAATTAAAGCCTCTGATAATCTTTCCAATGCTCCAAAATTAGATAAAATAGATTTGTTATTAGAGACGTTGGATCGGCTTACTTTGCAAAAATTCAGGATTTCGAGATTTCACAAGTTTTCCTTTTTTTTACCTTTTTGAGTGCACTAACATTTTAATGAAACCAGTTACTGTATTCTGATTTTTTTACAATATTAATAAGGTTTAGCATAGATTTAATACAGGGTTTTTTTAAAGTTTCAACCACTAATTAGTAGTTCAACCACATTTAAAGTCAGTAAAATTAAGCAGAAAACGTGAAAATAGTGTGTAAAATACAAAAATTTTATTTTACATCAGGATGCGGTGGAGAGCACTACTCCTAATCTCAATATTCCTATCGCCGACCTACGCAATCAGACTACGACCTGAAGATCTGCGAGCACTAAATCGTAAAAATGTCGGCTCTGGCGGTGTTGTCAAAATTGGGCATTTACTACCAAATAATCCGCAGGTACTATCATAAGTTATTAAGGATTCTATCAAATTCTTCTTAAGATAGCACATGAGCCAGATATTCTCCGGATGGGGTATGCCGACCTAAAGGAGAGGAAAATATTGCCGAAGAATTTTACTATTGAGTCAGTCGCGTGAAGTGTCTCAAAAACTCGAATCCATTTTAGGGTGATCACCTACGAGAGCTGTAACAAGTATAGCGGTGTTGAGAATGCGGCATATCTGCACTACATGAAAAACGCGACGATATATTTTGGGCCGGGTTGTAATAATGGTAATAACGATACTTATCGGTTAACCGGTATTGCAAAATTTTGGCTCTGGAGATTACCAGACTCCGGCACTAAAGAATGCTACACACCCTCCGGAAAGACGGACGTGAACGCCGGGCAGGCGCGTGGCGCTGTGTTCACTCTAATCGTACATGCCATTAAATGATTTTTTCTTCCATAAAATCACGCTGCCATCGCCTCCTGAAAATGGCACACATCCCAGCAAATTTCTATTTAACTCTCAATGCTCCTTCTTCCAGAAATGCTCGTCATCGGCCGTCTCGCACCTCGTTGGAACGTACCAATTGTTGCCCACATGTCTGGAGATGACATCCTGTCTGATCGAACTGTCTTCCCGACACTCGGTTCTGTCGCTCTCACATCAGCTGGTGAAATGGCGAGGGCAACGATGGCTTTTCTGCAGTTGAACAATTGGGAGCAGGTACCGATATTTCCTTTAAGTTTTTTCCAATTTCCGCTTTTTTATTCGCGTCGTTACAATTTTTCCTGACTATACACGCCTTAACGGACTCATTAGAATTTCAAACGGAGCCATAGATCGGGAATTTTCCGTTTTTAGGTCGGCATGGTTCGACCCACCAACGGCTACGATCGCTTGAGTCTGCACTCCTTGAATAATTTAATCAAGAAAAAGGATGCGCAGGTATTTGTTCTTTGAAATTTTAGTTAAACGATTAGTTCGCCTCCAAATCCAAGAAAAAAATTTTTAGCTCCAAGTCAACATACTCGTCGAAATCGATCCCTATGCTTCAGCTGATGAGATTTTGGCGTCGGGAAAATTGAAGCAATTGAAAGCAAAGGCTAGGAGTATGTCTTTCGCCAAACCATTCCTAAATGATCTTTGCTAGCTTGCCCTTCTATCTATTATGTTCATTTTCAGTCATCCTCGTCGAGCTGGGCATGGATTTGCATGCGAACACCAACTTCATGCAAGCCGTGTATCGAGCTGAGATGAAAACCGAGGAATACGTCTACATTTTGCCTTGGTTATCACATGTAGGTGGATCCTAAATTGTATCTGCTAGCTAGCCATAAGCGTGTTAGATAGGGACTATTTCCCAAATGTTCCCTGCTAGCCTACCTCAATTCTACCGAGTATGAACTCTTCCCAAACGCTCTCTGCTAGCCTGCCGACCTCACGCCAAGCTTCCTTGTCCTCTAATCTCTGCTAGCCTGTGCCTCAAGTCTACCGTGCATCCGCGAGTTCCTGACTCAGCTCGGCTATCCCAAACATTAAGTTTTCTTTTCCCCAATCCATCTCTGCTATATTGCCCTCTTCTGATTACTCGCTACTATGGCACCAAATCGACGCCAATTTTTTAGTTTCATTATTATTATTATCTGTGGCTACCCAAATTCTCCGGAAATGGCCGCGCTGACTGCCCCGGCCGGGCACAAATACGGATTACAGTAGTCGTAATTCCCCTGCCTTAAATTGACTGACAAGGGAACCACCTAAGGTCGAGGTGGCGTTTCGTTATGGGACCCAGCCCATTTTGTGCAGAATTTTTTGCTGATTCCGAACCCGCTTTCAATTTTTGCCAAATAGCCCGATTTAAAAAGTTACGGCGATTTTAAGATGATATTTGAGCCCGCGGGCGGTCATCTGTCACGATGCCCAACTTTTTTGTTTTAATATGTCAATCCATTTTAATAAGCCTATCTTGTAGAGAATTTTTTTCTGATTCGAATGATATATTTCATTACTGCGCTACTGCCTCTCGATGATCACTTATGGGAGTGTGAAATAGCCCGTTTTTCACCATTTCCCATACAAAAAACGAAGTCCATACCAAGTATCGTCGATTTTTTCGATTTCCAACAATTTTGAGTTAAATAGTTCATTCGATAGAGAAAAATTTTCTGAATATGATGGCGATATTCGTTTTTGATCAATCATCCGGGAAGTGCAAAATAAATGGCTTTGAAGTTGAAAAATTTGGGAAAAAATGGAACTTTGAAGCGCTATAACTTTTTAAAACGAGCTATTTGGCAAAAAATGAGCAGCGGATTCGGAATCAGCAAAGAATTCTGCACAAAATGGGCTGGGTCCCATAACGAAACGCCACCTCGACCTCGGGTGGTTCCCTTGTGAGCCATCTCCATGCCGGCCAAGTGGTTGCGTAACCGGAAACGAGGATTCGCTAGGAAGATAGGAAAAATGTGGGGATGAGGCGAAAAATGGATTTGAGCTCTTGGGTTAAAGTACATAGGCCAGGGGAACCACTCGTTTTGGTTCCTTTTTACAGCGGCCTAACCGTGACCAATCGTCGATTAGGAATAGATGCCAAATAGGGAACGGTTCGATGCAGTTTAAATACACAGTTAAAACCTAAAAGTTGTAAAGCCCTTGAAACGTTCAAATCGACCTCGTCGTCGACGATGGCTTTACAGCTACTCCACCCTTCAGCGGACCATTGCCGACTGATAACGATTTTGGCCGACTGGAAAATGAATTTAAGGAATTAACTGACAAATGGCCCTGGCAAGCGTCAAAGTCGACCTCTTTCTCGGCTAGCTCTCGATAGATACTGGTGTGAAACGTGTGCAAAGTAGGCGGCGACCTGGCTCGGAGCTGTCTAAACCCAACAGCTTTCCTTCCTAACAGCAGGGCCGTCTTTCCATGATCTAATAGTAAGAATTAAGGTCACTTCAAAACGGCCAAAAGCAATTTAATCAATAAGCGATCTAAGCTAGAAAAATTTATCGAAATGCCTTCCATTAATTGAATGACACCAGAAATGTTTATTGATACCAAAAACGAGACTTTAGCTCCATTTTAGATCAACGACCATCACCCCTGGGAAGCAACCACCGTAGACAAACAAGAAGTAAAGGCTGCTTATGAAAACACGATGATCATCACCGCCCACGGCTACGACGCAAAATTCTTCGACGATTTTCAAGAGAAATTTATCAAAACCACCGGAATGCTGGCTACTCATGTAGGACTTACCTTTTTTACGTCAAAACGGCTTGTTACAGTATGCCACCCTGGCCTACATGACGTTATACGATGCTCTTTTCCTCTACGGCCTGGCGTTGAGGGATGCGTTTGAAGATACCGGGGACTACGATGTACACTTTAACGGCTCGTTTATCTGGGAGAAGATGACGAATCGGCAATTTATGGGTAGGTTAGGCCTTTTTAGAGCTCTTAGATACCGGCTAACAGCTATTTCTATTGCGTAAGGTGCCACTGAACCATGAAAGTTCAAAGGTTGATTTTAGGCGTCACTGGGCTGGTGTTGATGAACAACAAGGCCATCCGGGTCCCGTCGTATGCAACCTATCATACCTCGAATGGTACCTTACGGATTGTCGTCGAGCTAGAGGCAAAACTCGGCGAGCGCGACAAGTGCAATTCGAACTTGGAGTTGTGCTCGGAGCATGTGGGTCTACAATCAAATAAATAAAGAAAGAGCGAGAGGAGGGAGAGAGAGAGAGAGAGAGAGAGAGATAGGCAGATAAAGGGAAAGAGAGAAAAACGAGATCATGAGAGACAAAGAGCGGGCAAACCAGCCGTGATCCTTTAGGAACTCCAAGGTTAGCTAGCGAATCCTGGAGAACTTTGAAGCCTTTAGTGCGAGGTTATTTTCCTGCAGGTAGCCCACGAGGTCGTCCAATTCTATTGGAACAGCCACAACGGCCAACTCCCCCAATCAGTACCGTCCTGTGGATTTACGGGTATTTTCTAGTTTCTAAAACTGCATAAGATTATCCCACTCAGGAGCTGATTGTGACTACACAACCTACTTCGTACTGATGGGCGTCACCTTGTTCATTCTGACCATATTTCCACTATCCTACTTTTTGTATACCAAACAGTAAGTGCTTGAACAATTATAGCTTTAGGCTTTAAAACATCATTCAACGGTTTGATTTAGAAAAGAGCGCTTGCTCTACGACATGACTTGGCGAATTCCGAGAGATAGCGTTCGGCTGGTCGATGCCTCAAAAATGGTAAGTATCTTACTATTAGCTTTGGCAACTTTCAAGCTTGAAAAGGCGTATGAACTTCCACCCTAAAGACAAAAATTGAAATCCTGAGTCGTTCAGAAATCCGAACACTCCCTTGCCAGCAAGTCTCAATCGTCCGGCTCGTTTTCGGGCAGCTTGACGTCCAAGCAAAATGGCATGGTCGGCGCCAAGCAGGCCATATCGAATGGTGTTCGGTGGGTTGTCCTTTGCACACAGACCGTTAATTGGTTTTAGATTGGCGATCAAACGCTTCACCCAGATGCGGAATATCACCTTCCAGAAGGAAGATTTGCGGACGCTGAAGGAAGTAAGCCCAACTTTCTGAATCTTTAGAGGCAATCTAGCGGAGATCATTTGGTTTCCTATATTCCGGTGACAAAGCCCGACTCGAATTAGTCGGAGAAAAAGCAGAAAATGTGAATACTCTCAGAAGACCACAAAAATCCCCACCCCCAAGATTAGAATCCGGATTTGCCTAGCCGACGGCGGCTTTTTGGTGCCTTCTCGGATCCGTGTACCCAAAGTTAGACGGGACGGACGGATGAGAAGGGGCATCACTAGACCCTCCCTCAACTCAAATTTCTGCCCCAGTCCTAATTGGGATGAGATGACACGCTGGGATCTAAAGCTCACCATCCCCCTGATGCTCATTATTTCCCCAAGTATAGCATCTTGGATCCGTTCGCTTCTAGTGCAATGTCTCGTGAGACTTTGGGTATAAGTAAATTAGGTTTGTAAGTTTTAAATTTTCAGAAATACTTTTCCGAGCACGGCTTGGATGAAGGTTTTGAACCTATTTTTGACCAGCTTTTTTGTAGAAACCTACAAGTTGTTTTTGGCGTTGTTCCGCGACGAAGCATGCGATTTTCATGGCCTAATTAATTCTCGATCAACGTTTTCCCATACTGTTTTCTAGCTGAAACTCATCGAAAACGAGAACCTGAATAAATTCTACGGGATCGCCTTCAACCAGCAGAATGAATTCGTCGTCATGTGGATTCTGTGCTCGAGGGGGAGCTTGGAGGTATTTTTCCATTAAACGGATCCTTTGCAACCCGAAAAATAGCTTTTATTGTTTGGAAAACATAACAAAGGTTTTTGTCTAGCAAATCCCACTGTTTTCAACCCAACGAACCTTCTATTTTTTTGGAAAGAAATCGTAGAAGCCAAAACTCAATTTCCAGGACATCCTTTTCAACGACGAGCTCAAACTCGGCCGCAATTTCCAAGTATCGTTTGCCAAGGATGTTGTCAAGGTACGCCTATACCTTCTAAGCTCAAAAATTCCGTATTTTAGGCCCTGGCCTTTATACATGCCTCCCCAATCATGTACCACGGCCTTCTCTGCCTCCAGAATTGCCTGGTCGACTCGAATTGGACGGTCAAGCTCACAAATTTCCGAACCGAGGAGATCATCTCCGACAAGATGTACCATAATGAGATCCGGGCCGTGACTTCGGAGTTGGAGGACGAGAGCGAGCGGTTGATTGATAGGAGTGAGTGTTAAGGAAGGGAAAATTCTTTTGGAAGGCATGCTAGAGGAGATTCTTTAGGAAATCACGTGACTTAATCGCTCTTACGAATCTTTTTAATATACTGGTTTAGCCGCACCCAAGTAATCTAAAATTGACTATTTTAAGGGATTTTTGATCCGTTGGCGATACATATAACTTGCTAAATCTTGTTTTAGAATACATCCAACAAGCTCCGGAAGTGATTCGAGAAATCGTTACCCGGAAAGCTTTGCCGCCTGGCGGCCAGCCTCAGGATATCTATGCTTGTGGAATGGTGCTCTACCAGATTCTCTACAGGGTCGAGCCGTTCCATGAAAGAGGGAAATCAATAGCGAGTAAGTTTCTCTCTCCCTCGCTTTCTCGCTCTCTCCCTCTCTCTCTCTCTCTCTCTCTCTCGCTATCTCTGACTATGATAAATTTTAGAGCTTATGGACCTCATCGCCATGTCAAACGATGACGACCAGCTGATCAGGCCCAGCTTTCCGTCGACAGTCGGTGAGTCAGCAAATTTTAATTTTCACCCATAGTTCACTTCATTACAATAACCCGCTGATCACGTTTAGGTAAAGACACGGAGTCCTACAACCTCCAACTGCTCTCTTGCATCGAGGCATGCTGGCTGGAGATACCAGAAATGAGGCCGAACATAAAGAAAGTTCGCTCGTTGACGAATTCGAATTTGAAGAGCACGTAAGTTGTAGAGGGAGAGATAGGGAGAGCGAGAGAGATAGAGGAGAGAGCTAGTGAGAGGGAGTGAGCGAGATAATGACAGGTAATAAAGAAAGTTTTTTTCAGAGGCAAAGGTTCACTCGTCGACCAAATGATGAAAATGATGGAGGAGTACACGACGAATCTCGAATCGTTAGTCCGAGATAGAACTGCTATGTTAGAAGAAGCACAAAAGCAAGCGGATCGGTTGCTGAATAACATGTTGCCAAGGTACGAGCCGTCTCCATCTCTCGTTCTTTATCTCTCTCTCTCTCTCTCTCTCTCTCTCTCTCTCTCTCGCTCTCTTTCTCTCCTGCCCCAAGAATCCCACGACGGCCTACAGAAGGAATGATTGGCACAACTTCCATAGGTTTGTGCAAATCAGTTCTTCTGTAAGCTGAGGCGGCGATGAACAAGCGGTCCAAAGGATGATGTGATGCAGCCATAAATTCATTATTGGTAAAATAAGATCAATTCTTTGTTTTAGATCTGTTGCGGAGGACCTCAAGGTTGGGAAACCTGTGCTTCCTCAGCTCTACCCATGCGCTACTGTCCTATTTTCCGACATTCGCGGCTTTACAAGAATATCATCGACCTCGACACCTTTGCAGGTACCCCCACACACCATTGAAAAAAATAAACCAGTTCAGAGTTAAACCTTGAGGCTTCGAGTTTAGAAATTGGAAGCAAACTTGCATTATCCATCGAGGAAATAGACCTTCGAAACCATTTTTAGGTCGTCACCTTCCTCAACGACATGTTCTCCGGGTTCGACTCCATCATCGCCAAGCATGATGCTTACAAAGTAACTCAATGAAGCTTGCCAATTTATTCCTAAAATTCCAGGTCGAAACCATCGGTGACGCCTACATGATCGTATCTGGAGTTCCAAAAGAAAATGGAAATTATCACGTCCAAAACATTGCTGACGTCGCGTTGAAGATGCGGGCTGTATGAACAATTCATCCTAGAAATAATTGAATACTTGTAGTTTGTCTCCAACTTTAAATTGGCGCATCGGCCCGAAGAACTGATGATGGTAAGGATCGGATTCCACTCGGGATCTGTAGCAGCTGGAGTGGTTGGATTGGCGGCACCGAGGTGAGTTCTCCAGTTCTACAGAGACCTGAAATTTCGAAACCATTGAAAATCTGACGCAACTCTTCCTTTGAAAGGCGCTAACGCGTAAGAAATGTATGAGGAATACTCAGTGCTTGCAAATTAGCTTTGCCGCTGTAGGATTTTTTAGGGATTAAATGGAATTTCTGACGAGCATTCGGGGTCTTCGAGTGAGATCTTTGAAATCCTTTTAGTCCCGAATAAAATAGACATTCGAAACGGTGTAATTCGATCTTCTTTCAGACGGTGTAACCCACAGTCAAAAAGCTTTGGGATTGCCAAAGTTTGGTCGAAGTTTAAAGTTGCCCTATTTTGTCACCGTGATTTAAAGTTGTATTCTAGCTAGGGAAATATTTTCTCTTCACTAGGATAATTTTTAGCATCATTTAGTTTCATTCACCAGCAGGCAACACGGGTTTTAATGCTATAAATGATCTGAGTGATTCAGTTTCCGAAGAAAACCTACAAAAAATACCCTTTTAGATACTGTCTCTTTGGTGATACCGTCAACACGGCTTCCAGGATGGAAAGTACCGGAGTGGCAAATAAAATTCAGGTCCCAATACCTTTTTTATTTCATTGTTCAATTCTTTCAGATATCCGAACAGGCCTACAACCTTCTCCACTGCTTCTTCCCCCAATTTAACATGTCCGAAAGGGGCAAAATCGAAGTCAAGGTAATTTTCTTAGGGTTCTTTCTGACACACGGCCTAATTTGCAGGGCAAAGGCGAATGCTTGACATTTTGGCTTGACAGCAGCAAAGCGCCTCCACAATCTGCAAAGTAATTTGGAAACCTTGAATTTCCTTAGCTTGTAGAAGTCGGTTCAAAAGCCAGATGCAACTGTCGTGATGCCATGAGAGGATCGAGGAATAAGAAGCCTCACAGAATTTGCAATTCGGCCCCCAACCTCAATTATTATATTTTGGATTCATTGTACTTTTTGTAACAATAAAACAGAATTTAAACGCAACTATCTGCTCACTTTTTATAGTTGGGGGAATGGAATTGTAAGTGGGATTTGAATAACCTGAAACCCTCAATCACCCTAAAAATCCGTTTCATTTTTGGATGCAATTTACCGTGGCATAAGAATTTCGTTGTCCAAGCTGAGGGCCGAGCATTGCCCGCATGTTATTGATTAGTAGCGACGCATCTTCGATGGCGGCTGCTTTATCATAAAATGCGGAGATAGCTTTTATATTGCCTTTCCAAAAAAGCGTCGAGGCCTCCCCATTTCCGAATATCGTCGCTTTTCCCCAACAAAGCCACCCATTTTATCCACCCACTCATTTTCTTTTTGTTTTCGTTTCGTGATTCTTGCGGTAAGTCACTTTTATGCAATAAAATTTTGATGGGGAAAGGATAGCCCAAACATTTTCCGCCGGCCCGCATCAGGAAACCCAACAAACAAAACCCCAAGCCCATGGGCCCATGTTCCATGGGATCAAAATACTGATGCTCCGATAGACAATATTACCCGAACAACCCCATCAATCCGCAGATTGAAAAACTCTCTAGTGCTCTGCCGGCTATTCATATTGGTCTGTGTATTTTTGCAAAATGTCTTGTCATTTCCAGACATACCTATAAAATGCGGATCGAGCCATTTGATTGCGTAATATGTGGTTCGCCCTTTGATCCAAAGGAGGATTCCGCGAGGAACCCGGTGTGGTACAAGGAGGCTTGGTGTTGCAAGAAGTGTTGTCCGTATCCTAGCCCTTGGGTTGTGCAGCAAGTTTGCAAGATGCTGTGGGGAAACCGATTTCAGGTCAGAATCTATTTAGCTCCCTATTTCTCTTAGAAGTTTTGCCTTGCTATATAGTTTTTTTGGTATGAGCGGAGCATTAACAGTACTCGCTTTTTCTTCCGCGGCGTATCGCAAAACTAGGGAAAAGCGCATCTGGTCGCAGATTCGGGATTAAATCATGTAATCGGAAACGGTTCGGACGGTTTTACGTGCTTGTTAGCAAAACTTAGCAAATTACTGGCAGGCTTTTGTCAAATTTATTGTCTTTCTCTTTTCTCAAACAAACTATTGCAGAAAATTTTTTGAATTTTTAGAGAACAAAAGAAGGATGGCTATCTATAGGGCCGATAGAGCCGCTAAAATGTCTACATCATAGCTGCCGGAAAATCTTCAACGATAGCGATTGCAAGCCGTTCAGGGGTCAAAATAGAGAAACTAAGCAGCCGTCAAGCATATGGAGTTGTCAACAATGCTTCACAGAACATTATCAGAAATGGTGTCGTGGTCCTTATGACGGCAGCCCTATAACAAAACTACAAAATTTTATCCCCCAACACAATAAAGAGTTGGGATATGACGAAGAGCAGATCAAGGAATTCTTTTCGAAGCCGGGCGCCAGTGATCTGTATTTTTACTGCGCTTACTGCGCTGTCAAGTTTTCATGCGATCAGGCTCGTGCCATGTCTTGTCGGATGATTGCCTGTCCGGAATGTCGTGGGGCGGGAAACTTACCGGAAAAGTGTCCGGTGTGCCCAATGCCAAGGGACGAACACAAAAACTGGTTCAAAAAACGCGTCAAAGAACTAGAAATGGCCAAGCAGTTTTCGGGGAGCCCCTCACAAGAACAACCGTACGAATTATGCATCGAGGAGGGTGATCGGGGTTGCCTAAATATTGCCAAAAGCGAAGACGAAGTCCCTAAAGAAAAGTGTCAAAATTGTAAACGAACACTTGAGGTTACCGACTTATTCATGTGTATTCAATGCGATCGAACCACGGTCTGCGCTGCTTGTCGCCAACGCGGCCATAAAAATCACGAATATGTCGATCTAAAGGAGCAAAGACTGGCCGATTTACAAAAAACCACAACCGACTATTTGACCGGATATTCTGAGGGACTGTTCGGCAATGTCCAAGGAATTCACGTGGAAATCGAGAACGATCAGAAAGCCCTGCTGGAAGCAAATACAGTCAATGTGAAAAAGATTACGGAACAAGCTGTCTACGGAAACGGTTCAAAAATCGCCGCCAAACTCAAGGTCGTGGGTGATAATTTCGAGAAATGCTTTGAAGGATACCTACCGCACGCCCGGATGTACAGCACTAATCTTCAGAAGTTGAAAGAAATGACTGAAGAGGCTATGCGTGAATTTGGGCAGGAATAAATAAGTCTTTTTTTGAAAAGCACCGGATTTTACCAAAAATACATGGTATGAACTCCATAAAGTATCAGAAAATCGTTATCATAAAGAATAAAGCCCATTTTCAAATGTTTTTACAATTTCTATGCAAATAGACGTTTGTAGGTCATGCACCGAAGATCTTCGACGCGCTTGAGCGACATTTTCGACCTTTCATTTACTGCTAGCTTTCTGAAATCGGGAATCACATTTTTAGCAGCATTTTCAACATTCCGAAAAGCGTAACCTGCCGATTCATCCAAAATAGATTCTCTAGTTTTGGCCGCATGAAAAGAAAAATAGCCAGGGTGTGGCTTTTTTACGAGCACGGTTGGCCTCGATCACCATCCCCCAGCCATGGCGATTCACGTCATTCCGGCAGGAACCAGGAATCGTCAGAGAGACAAGGTCAGCGCAAATGGACCAGTGGCCTGGTTTACTGGACATACGATCTGAACATTTTATAAATTCCGTGGTTCCGCAGTGTTTTTATAATTTGCAGCAAATCGCTAATACATTAACGATTCGATTGCATGAAAGTATACAGATTTGAGTCAAAAAATTATATGCTATCTGTCGATCGTTTACAAGAATTAAATAGTTTCTATCCGATTTTAAAGAGCAGAATCAAGCACAGTTTTCTGAGCTTTTCATGGAAGAATTAGGCTTTTTATCATTCTCGTGAACACTTAATATACCTCACGATACCTTCCACATTGATTCTCCTCGTTAATTTCAGTGCACAGATAAATGATCCACCAGGGCTGGTACCCAGATCAAATTTACACGTGTAAAAATGGGCAAAAATTTACACGCGTGTAAAATATTTACACACTAAATTCACACGCATGTAAAATATTTACACGCGTGTTTTTCGGATTTACACGCGTGTAAAATTTGAACGCGTGTAAATTTGATCTGGGTAACAGCCCAGAGTTTGTTGCTTCTTTAGATTTGGTTTCTTGGATTTATGGATTTCTTGATATAATCTTAGCTGATATAAAAAAGCTTAATAACTAAGATTTGCATGTGTTAATAAATCGCTAGAAGAAACTACTTTTGCGGCAAGTTTTCGGACTAAATAGCATGCCGAAAATACAGCTTTCGGCAACAATTCCACCCAGCTGTATAATGCCCTAGGCCGACCCCCAAGCCGACGACTACCCTTATGTGGTCTTTTTGGTGGCTGACGCTTGGCTCTCCTCTTTCTAGTACTGTCTCAATACCCTATTTCTCTGCCCTCTCCACCGCTAGAGATCACGCTTCCTTTTTTGGGCGTTTTTGGCGTGCTACGACCTACTCTACCCCCCACAGCTCAATCCAGCCGCGCAACCCGCCCCGGTGATTGGAGGTTTATTGCCAATCTATCGGCAGTTTTGCGAAATTCAGCTCGTTGTTGTTGTTGTAGAGCGTACAGTTTCAGCCCATTCGCTGTTTTGAGAACTAAATTTCCGCAGCAACTTTGTTTCACTTATTATTCGCTCGTGGCCTGTCTGCTAAATCCATTTTCATTGGAAGCCTTGCAATTTGGGGTTTCAGGTTGACTGTGCATATCTTAGTCTAAACCTTGCTATACTTGAGTTAAATTAATGGGGTTGTCTGACCACAGATCCATCCACACGCCTACTTACCCTCTTATCACTCTTGAACGGAGCTGTTTGGCGTCTTTTGGCCAGCCATCTTAAGCATCGACTTTGCGTAGCTTAACCAAACAAAAACAAGATATTTTACTTTATTCAGGTGAATCATTTTGGTTTTGGCTTCAGTCGGGTCTTCCGGTCAGCCACCTTTGACTATTAGCTGCTTTTGAAGCTTGGAACTGCAAAATCACCAGATCCCAATGTTCCTTAAAATCCCCGCTAATTTTAAGGTATCCAGAATAATTGTATCATGTCCATTTCCACTCCGAAACTATTCTCTAGCCGCTATTATTGGCCGTTCTGATTGTGAGGCCCGGGGGTACATTTCACGGGCCGCGCAGATCTCCTAGGGGACAGCCGCCCGTCACCCACCCCTGCCGGAATACAATCACTTTTGCACCCCCCAAACGGCTGCACATTACGGCCAGGGGAGGTTGGGCCTTTTGAGGGACCAGAGGGCCAAGGCACAGACAACAAAGAAACAAGAGGAACCGTCTTTTTAGCCTAGAAAAAAGAACCTTTTTTAATTTCGTTTCTTTTCTTTTCTTCCCACACTTTCCTTTTTGAAAGAAACAATCCAATTGAAGTAAGGGCTGCGATCAGTTGTCTTATAAATTTGCATGCCTTTGCATTTGTTATAATTAGTTAAACTAAACTTTGACAAATGCTACGACTTTTTCTAAACATTAAAATAGTGCCTGACGATTTCCGATTGCCGTTTTGCGTTTGCTTTGTTTAAAAAAAAAGATGGCATTTAACTACGAAATTCGTTGGACTTTCCCCTATTAAATTTTTGCTATCTGCGCGGCCCGCTTCACGCAACGCGCACCAAGTTTTAATTTGGTTACGCTGCCGTAATCGAATACAAAAATACTGCGACGCGCGTTTCGTGTCGCGGTCTGAATCTTCTTCGCCGTGACACGCAACGCATGGTCCGAGCTTTTGCTTGCGTAATCGATTACGACACTAAAAATGAGGTCGGCTCGTATGCGCGTTGCGTATCGCGCTGGCTTTATAGCCCCCAATAATCGATGGTCAATAAAATCTATGTTTCTGCCTTGCCCCTCCCTTTAAACCAGATCCCGGCCCAAATTCTATACCCAGATTCCCCGCGCAGCTTGTTCAACTGCTCAATGTATTCACTAGGACAGATTAGCCAGGCAGAGGCCCTGTGTTGCCATTTTGCCTTGGATGTTTGTAGTGTCGGGGCGTATCCTGGGGGTCGAGGAGGTAGGGGCTGAACAAATATCCGCGCGGCTCGACCATTCGCTGCCTATAGTGGCCGAGCACGACCTCCACGATCCACCGAAAACCATCCCCAGGCCTCCCCGTCACCTCAATGGCCCTTCAAGGGCAAACCTCAACGCCCGCGCTTGCGTACAGTTCATTTCAACATGCTACGCACTGACCACTTTGCGCGGAACGTTATACCTGACTTTTTGCGAACTTTGAACACTTCTGGATCTGATATTCATTACTTTTTGATCGTCTAAAAAGCTTTCCAAGGACGTAATGCGTTTATGCGTCGCTTTGTCACATTTGACAATACTTAAAGAACAATTCCATGGTTTTATTCGCGTTTTATTCCCGTTTGCGTAAAATTTCTTCTTTTAAAAAACTTTTGACAATTCTGACCCGAAGAGCCGACTCGGCTAATCTTATTTTCTAGAACTTTTGCGGCCGAAAAGTAATTGTCAACATATAAAACGATTTATGCCCTTTTTACGAGCGTACAAAAGGTGGAAAACACATTTGACGCACCATGTCGGTCTCATTTGATAAGATTGCAGCCTTGAATGTTCTTTCCTTACGTGACAAATCCCTTCCCTTCCCACTAATGCATTTTTTCGTAGGGGCTATCCGCGCAATTGCTGTGATTCAAATGCATATAAATTCCAAATCATCTTTTAGATCAGAAGTCGAAAAATGCTGTTTTTAAAGTAAATTCCATTCGAGTACTAAATAAACAATTTTTCGCTATTATTTTTTTGCTTTTTAAAACTCATCGATTAGAACTTTTTAATACGGTATTTTAATAAGCATATACTTCGAAAACCTTGTAAAGGTAAAAACGTCATCTACTTCGAAAAAATGCTTAGTCTCCAGAGCTTTGCACTTGCCAAAAACGCCAACCAACTTTTTCCTAAATCAAAGTACATTTTTTTTGAACGACAGCTTCCATCCATCCAACTCTACAAATTTGCACATCGAAACCCAATCCGCCCTACCATTCAAAAAAGTTTCTCCGCAAAAGCCCCGTTCTCCATTGCCAGGGAAAATTAGTTTCCGCCCGCTCACTATACACCGCTCCAACTGACTAATTCAGTGTTGTGAGTCGATTCCGCCGTGAATTTGCTCCATTTTTTGTGGCTGGCATCGATCCAAAAAAGATACTTTTGGGGTTTCTTTCGCCGTTCTTTTCGGCTTTTCATTGAGCATGGAGCAGTGCTGTGCGGCATCTTTTTCGACTCCGAATGAGAGTCGATTCTTGTTTGCTCCGTGCTAGGCGAAAAATAAACTTTCTTGGCCCAGCTTGAAGCCGAGCGGTCAGTTTTCCTTTGATGAGTGGTTTCGAGAGTGATAAACCTAACTGAATGCTACGTTTTTTGAAATGTAGATCTTGTATAAAACTTGTTTTTATCGTAAATTGGTCTTTAAACGTTTATGACATTCTAAATTTTTGTAGCTTAAAATTGGCCCGGAATTTAATAAATATAACAAAGCCTGAATATTTCTTTTTTATTATTTGTGTATTTTTATGATTAAGTTCCCTGTTAATTGATGGCAAGGTTTTTCAGATACATAGGCACTTTCAAAACTCTTTAAGTTAACGCTGAAGACAAATTAAACTGGCGGCGCCTTATCCACTTGCTGTGATTTTGTTATATATAAATTTTATCTCGAGTTGTAAATTAACAACTTCTCTTGAATCTTTTCGCATAAAATAGTTTTTTAACCTTGTAGGCCCCAAAATTCCATGCCACCGTCCAAAATTGCCTCCACTTTTTCCCCGCGGTCCATCCATTTTTCCATCCTGACTCATTCGACCTCCACGAGAACCATCCTAAAACGTTTTTTTCTATGGGGGCCTAAAACGGGTTTTGAGTGTTTTGCGGCGCCTGAGCAAATTTGTCGTTACTGTTTTTTTGGGATTTTTCCGGATGGTGGGTCAGGTTCGAAAATTCCTGTGGATTACTGGCCCTCAATGTCTCAAAAACCACCTTAAATTCGAGCGAACATGTTTTAAATTGCGATTCTGATTGTATCGTGATTTCCCGATAATTGGGAAAGCTCGCTTTCTCAAATAAACTCTGCTAGTTCGCCACAAATGTAATTTTTAATTTTCGCCTAGATTTTTCTAACTTTCTATCTGCGGTTTCGTTCACGGTTTTTTACTAAGGTAATCTTGGTATATGTTCAGGTAATAAGTGTCCATTCGGGGAATGGTCAACGTCTCGCACCAATGCCGTGACGGAATCCTAATCCCGGCCCTGGCCACCTCGAACCGCAATGCGTTCATCTACCTGGCCGGGTTGTTGTACTGTTTTCTCGGTATCGCCATCGCGGCCGACATTTTTATGTGCGCCATCGAAAAGATTACTTCGAAAACTAAGTGAGTTGCAGTTTTCACATACCTTAACATCTAAGTCTCAATTTCCAAACCATAAAAATGTAATAACGTGAAAACCCTAGCTCGAACTTAACCAGCTTCAAAACGTATTCTTAAATTTCAGAAAAATCAAAATCAAACAAGAATCCGGTAAGCTCGTGGCTGCTGGAAACGAGCCCGATCAACCGGAGGAATATGAAGAGGTTCGGGTCTGGAATCCAACGGTGGCAAACCTCACATTAATGGTAGTTCCACCGATACCTTTGCAAGCTGCTTGGCTTTTCTAGGCCCTTGGAAGTTCCGCACCTGAAATCCTGCTCTCCATCATCGAAATTGTTGGCAATAACTTCCATTCGGGTGACTTGGGTCCCGGCACGATTGTTGGTAAGTTACAGTAATTTTACAGCCCCAAAAATTGCTTTAAAATTGGATATTAAAATTCTGAAAAACCCCGAATTCAGGCTCTGCCGCCTTCAACCTCTTCTGCATCTCCGCAATCTGTGTCCTCACCGTCGGCAAGAAAACCAAGCGCATCGCACTCTTCAAGGTGTTTTGCGTGACGGCCTTTTTCGGAACGTTTGCCTATATTTGGCTCCTCATTGTAAGTCATAGTAGTAGCTCTTTTGGATAATCCGTCATATACCCTAGGTTCTTGCATGGATCTCCCCTGACGTCGTAGAGCTCTGGGAAGCCATCCTGACGCTATTGTTCTTCGGCATCCTCGTCATAGCTTCTTACTGTGTTGACGTCGAGATTTGGAATAAAAATAAGAAGGCCAATCTGGAGACAGAATTACAGGATATTGAGGTGGATTTTTTAAGGATATAAGGATGAAGATGAATTTTAGGATCGTACCTCTAAGAAACCGTCGAAAAATCTTGACGTCGAGATTCGGAATGTGGCCCGAAGGTTGAGCTATGTTGATGGAGAGGTAAATTTTTATTCTTTGTATGTTATTAGCTTGTTGTAGTCAATCCTCGATGCTCTTCCGGCTCCAGAAGAGGGTGATGTCCGGAAAATGGCCAGAGACGTAGCTAGAGTTTATCCAGGGCTAGAAGCCGACGACCAGGCCAAGATTCTGGCGTACCGGTTGAACCAGAACAAGGTTTGCTACGTTCTTTGTTTGGCTTGGTTGCGAAAGTCCGGTGTCAATTTTAAATACCTTTAGCCTTGACTTTTGATCGTTTTTCAGGTCCGCGACCGTCTCTACTACCGCATCCGCGCCATTCGTCAATTGACATCTTCCTGGAAGAAGACCGACGAGGAGAAGGAGGTCCAGGAATTGGAGGAGAAAGAAGCCGTCAGCCCGGATCATACATCTCAAAGTGAGTTCGAGCTACGTTTAAAAATTCTGGTTTCAGAATTGAAGCCGCGCATCGAGTTCACGGCACGTGTCTACGCTGTCTATCCTCAAGATAAGAAGGTCAAGCTGTCGGTGGGTTCATTTTTGGTGGCATGATCCTCTAGTCATCAAAACATAGCGATACATTTCGAAAACTGATGGTACTCCGTTCTTTTTAGGTAATCCGACGCGGCAACAGTGACGCAGCCTTGACCCTGAACTACAGCACCGTGGATGGTATTGGGAAGAAAGATTTGCACTACTTACCAAAGGTGAGCCTTTTTGGATCTGTCGTATTGGGATTACGGTTATAGGTATCTTATATTCTAAACGGAAGTTTACTATTAGCTAATCATGACACCTTTCAGATGGAAAACCTGCGCTTTGCCCCGCAGGAAATGCAAAAAGACATCGTCATCGATTTGGTCGATGGAGCGGATTGGAGACCAAACACCGTCTTCTACGTCCACCTGAAAATTGTGGTGCGTTAAAGCGACTAAAATAGGAGATTCTGATCTTTTTAGAGTCTTCCGGTTCAATTTCACGGTTTGATAGTTGTTGTATAGTTTGGTTTGCATTGCTTTTTTTAGCTTGTAGTTTCTGTAGTTTTCTCGGCGGTTATTGCGGGTTTGAAGGCAACTGCTGTGTCCGTGTTTTGAAAAATTGCTTGAAACGACTGAACCACGGAAACAAAAATAGTTTTAGGACCAGGACGAGGGCGGCAAAACGAAACTTGGTGAATGCAATATCGCTCACGTCAAATGCCCCGAGGATACCACATCCTTTAGTGGAACGCCGAACGTCGAATTTGTTAAGGGAAACTATGTAAGTTTCGGCTTATATTATTTAAGGTATCTCTTAGATACTATCCATTTTCATCTATTATCCACTTTTTTAGGTTTGCAAAGAAAATTGTGGCTGGGTGCGGGTCTTCATCACAAAGAGGGGCAAGACTAAAACTCCCCATGATGTCGGCGTTCGTTTCGAAACTGAAGACATTTCGGCGAATGCTAATGAAGACTACGTTCCCTATAAGAATGCGCTGTTGTATTTCAAGTACGCTTGCATAGGATACCTCACTTTTTATGTGACTTTTAGGGGCCAAGAGTACGAAAAATACATCGATGTTGAAGTCGTTGACGATAAGGACGACGAGAAAGATGAGACTTTTTCGGTTGAGCTGCTAGGAACTGAGGATCGGGGTATGTTTTTCTCAAAAATCGCTTCCATTTAGCTAAAAAATCTAGAACGTCACGTTCTGATTTAGAAACTACAATCGGCAACAAGAAACGCACGATCGTGACTATCATTTCGGACGACAATGTCTTGAAAAACATCACAAATACCAGAAAATTGGTCGGCTACTATTTGAAGCGGATGACGCCTGGACAGGTAGGGTAAATTTAAACCTTTTAGAAGTTTTGTTTTAGCCAAAAACTATAAAATACCATAATCCTTCAGGCCACCTGGCGCGAGCAAATCATCAATGCCGCCTCGGTGAATTCTGGAGATGTGGCCAACGCTACTGTACTCGATTGCGTATTGCATGGATTGGCTTTCCCGTGGAAGGTAGGTTTATATTACAATATGGTTAATTTACCGTGTCAAGCTTTCAATACTGGTATTTTTATTCACTATTATAATAAGATTTTTGTAACCTAAAAATGTTTAAATCAATGGCTCACTAGAATTTCAAGTCGTCTTTAGTTTGCCTTCGCCTTCGTCCCGCCGCCAATGATGATGGGCGGTTGGCTGTGCTTCGTTGTCGCATTAATAGCCATTGGATTGGTGACGGCCGTCGTAGGTAGATATCAGAAAATCCTCAAGTTTCTTCATTAAGTGACGTAAGCTAATAATCACTCTTCAGGTGACATCGCCTCAATCTTCGGCTGCATGGTCGGAATGCCGGACGCTATCACGGCCATCACATTGGTTGCCCTTGGAACGTCACTTCCGGATACTTTTGCGAGCAAAATCGCTGCTGAAAACGTTAGTCGTAGATAACCCTTGTTGATCAACTATCGTATGCGGCGCAACATATAACTTGTACCGCGAATTCTAGGATGATTCCGCAGACAATGCAGTCGGAAACGTGACCGGCTCGAATTCGGTGAACGTATTCCTCGGCCTTGGTCTGCCGTGGTTGGTCGCCGCTTTCTACTGGTGCGACAAGGGACAACCTTTCGTCGTGAAGGCCGGAGATCTAGGCTTTAGGTGAGTAGGCTCTCAAAAATTCTTTCTCACGCTCTCTCTCTCTCTCTCTCTCTCGCACTTTATCACTCAATCGCTCTTTATTTCTCTCGCTCACTAGCTCTCTCACGATCCCTCTCGCTCGTTCTTTTTCACTCTCTCTCTTTTTCTCTAAATCTTTCGCTGTCTCTCTCGCTCTCGCTCTCTCCTTTTTTTCTCTGCCCGTTCATCCAAAATCAACAATTTTAGCGTTGCCGTCTTCACAATCTTTTCCATCATCTTCCTCATCGTCCTCATCGCCCGCAGAATGCTGGCCGTTTTCGGAAAAGGAGAACTCGGCGGGCCACCAGGTCCAAAAATCGCATGCGGCGTCTTCTTCATCCTCCTCTGGGTCGCTTATATCGGCCTTTCCATCTGGAAAACACAGTAGACCTGAATTACTTGTCCCAAAAATCGTCGTTGTACCAACCTTTTTTTCCTGAATTACGGTCACTAAACCCATCCCAAATTTTGCCTCACTGCCAAAGCCCAAATGTTTTGTAATAACTTCCCAAACTATTGAGATTCGCGTGTGGTTGTGTTTGTCTATGTATTCTCAGGTTTCATTTCTCTCTTTTTTGCTTTATTAAAACTTACTAGCAAAATAACATGAACAGTTTTTGAACTAATGTGATATCAGTATTGTGAAGTGGTTGTGACGTTGCGCTTTTTTATACGATAAAACGACATTTATTTGGGATTCCACTTTTGAATTTTTGTAAAAGAAAAAGACATAAAAACCCGGAAAGTTGATTAATTGGGCTTGGCTAAGAAGTTTATATATATATATATATATATATATATATATATATAAAGAATCATGATTTCGTAGCAGGTAGAAACTGCAGCGCAAAAAAATCGAAAAGGAACGGGTTTAGGAAAACGAGTCGTCTTGCACAGGTTCTGCCGAAATCTCAACGACTTGACCAGCTTCTGTGTCACTATTCTCCGAAATTGTGGAAATGGAGAGATCTTCTTTAAACTCGTGCATCAACATCCGATTTTCATCGGCCAGCTCCATCAGTTTTTCATTGTAAATTCGAGCGCAGGGCAGGTAGTCCTGGAATTCACTATTGCGAATTGATCATTAAGTTGCGTAGATTAGCAGAGACATTTGAGGTTTTCACTATGTAAAAACGGCTAACAACATCGGATACAAGTGATGGTTCCGCGCGGTTACCGGGGGTGACATTTTTAGCAGTGGGAACCATTTTCTGTTTTTCCACCCATCTCTATCTGTTGATGATATATGACCTTTTTTAAAGTGTTGTTAGCAGTTTCTGGTTGCTCGAAAGTTAGAAAAATCATTTAAAGTTTTTAAAAATTCCAAAATGTTATCAATTTTCGTCATTTTTCATACATTTTTGACCAAAAAGCCAAACATTTTGGCAAATTTTATTTTTTTAGAATGTTTTTATATCTAAAAACTAGTAAAATGCTATAAAAATGGTTTATATTTTGTCATAGGGCCGTCGAGAATTACAGAGCATTTGGTTCCCCACCCCCCGCTAACAGCCCAGCCCCCGTGTAACAATACCTCGAAATGCTTCTCAAAATCGTCGGCGTTCTTGCGCAGAGCATCACTGATCGTGACACCATTTGCGTAGACCTTTTGCGTTGAAATCAGCTGAAAAAAAACAGACATTTTGTTCCGCACCAACACAATTTCGAAAAAGCTCCAAAACCAACCTTCGAATTATCGATCGCCTCCTTGGCCAACCGCTTCACATTCCCGTCAATTTGCTCGTGGATGAGCCGAACCATGCCCTTCACTCCATCATACTGCTGTTCGACAGCACCCGCCGTTTGCTCTTCGAGTTTCTTCAACTTCTCCAGGCCGATGTCCACCACCTGGTGAGCCCGGTGCTCACGCATTGAACAAGTGCCACAATGGATCGAATTCTCGCAGCTAACACATGAAAACATTTGCGAGGCCAAGCAAGTTTCGCGGCATCCATGGCAGCGAATCATTCGATCGTCGGCATCCTCGAAACATTCTTTTAGTTGCAGAGTTTCGAATGTTGCTCCTCCTTCGGAAACGGGATCCGCGTGGGCTTCATCTTTTGGAGGCCAAGATTTAGGGACGACAGCTTTCCCGGATTTCCAGCCATCCAAAAGTGCTCGTCCGGGCATCAGATGCGAATTCGGTGTTTCATGGCAAACATGACACAAGGTCTGTGTGCCAGCTGTGTAGTAACAATCCGAGCAGAGGATGCTGGTACACGATATCACCAACCGATCCTCGACCTGCCCGATTCGCTTCTTGCATTTGCCGCATAGCGACTTCTGGATTAACTCGCCTCTCAGGCTCTTCTTGACATTTTCGGCGGCCTCATTGTACAGGTCGACATAGCGACGATAAGTGCCGAGCAGCGTCGTAAGGCCGTAAGAACCATCGGATATTGCCCCGCGGTAATCGTGGTTGCAGAACTGAAAAAGTGCTTGATCCAGGGACCGGGAGTCTAATATCCGTGAGTCCTGACATCATTCATCGACTCTCTAAAGGTTCTTAATGCGACTTATTGTAACCCTTTTATGGTTGAAGTGGAAATTCGGTACGTGGGTTGGCAAATCTCGTGCAGAATTTTTCGCTGATTCCGAATCCGTTAGCAAAAGTTGCGGAATCCCGAGATTCAAAAGTTACAAGTGTTTTTAATCCCCAAAACTCTGCAAATTTGTGACTTTCTAAAATTCTTCTAAAAATGTCTTCTAAAAATTTCGTGAAATACTTTTGGGGTAAAATTAAGGCATCTCCCAGGGTAAAAAAAATGGGCTGTTTCGAATGGGCTATCTCACGTATCGAATTTCAACTTCGACCATAAAAGGATTACAGCTAGGAGACGACAAAACTATGGTTAAAAAAACTTGCCGAACATTTCCCGTCCACCGCAGCACAACACTGCTCGCATCCGATCCGGCGACAGCAATAGGACGCGTGGGGTTTGGACCACGGCTTGCCACAGTCGCAAACGAATGGGTCCAATGGGCCCACAGCCACCCAGCCCTTCGGGGTTTGTTTCAAATTGGGTTGTTCGAAGAGCAGAGGGACTAATTGGGCTGGCTGAGCAAGCGGCTCACACATTCCACACAATATATATGGCGGAGTGAACGCAGGGTAGACAGGCGCACGCGGAAGGCCAGTTCGGTCGTATGGAAGGGAACATTTTGGGCAATTGAAGCACTCGAGCAGCATTCCTGCAATTAAAGAATTTACAGGGTTTCCCAAAAAAGTCGAGTCCCTCCAGATTTTTACACAGAAAAAAGCGCTTTTCCCTTTAACGAGTTATGATCTGCTGAGCTATTTTTCGCTAAATTTACTGGATGGCGCGAGGTATGCAAAAAAAAATTTTTGGAAGGCGCCCGCCCACAAAGCATCAATTCCCTTTTTACTCCGTTTAAAAAAGCGGAAATATGCGAAATGTGATGGAAAATTGAATTCGAATTGTTTAAATGCCACGCGCACACCGAGACATTTCCGAAAAAAAAACGAAAAAACGCATGGTGTTAATTTACGCGCGTACGGAAACCGGAAAGTCATAATTGGTACTCAAGACTTTTGTGATATCCAGTGTCAAAACAATAAGTAATAGATAATTAAGGGTAATAAGGATAAGTAAGGAATTGTTCAAATTCTTTGGCATCTGCCCTGACCGAAATTAAGTTGGCGGGGGCCGCGACGCAGACGGCACCATGACCTGCCATTTACCAAACATTAACGGTGAATGTGTTTGCCTACACTAGCGGACTTGCGCAAAAGCCAACGGCAACGAATTTTAGGCACAGTTGAATGCTAAAAATTGCTTGTTTGAAATGTCTTTCGGGACGCAAAAGTTCTTAAAATTCGTTTATTTAGCTGGAAAAGGCCAGGTCACACAATTTGATGGGGGAAGGCGTCATTTACGTTTTTTTTAGAATTCTTTGTGCTGTTCTTGGTCTTGAGGTGTCGTGCGGATCCCCATCAGACCGGGTAGACACTTCCGCCTCTTCGCTCTTTTCCGGGCTCTCAGCAATGGCGAGACCCTTCTTGAATTGGCGGATCAGCGCTTGATTCTGGTCGGCGAGGTCCGTCAACTTCTCGTTGTAGATTCGAGCGAGGGGCAGGTATTCCTGGAATCCGTAAATTATATTGCGTTAGTAGCTTAAATTTACTACGTAACGTAAAAAAGGCAAACTTTGTAAATTCCGAATGCAAACTCTTACCTCAAAGTGTCTCTCGAAAGCATCGGCTTTTTCTCTCAAAGTGTCGCTGATCGAGAGACCATCGGCATAGATGTTTTGCGCCGAGATCAACTAAAAGTACTTTTTTGGATCCAGAAAATTTGTGGAAAACCTAGACATTTTCGGTTGTGGTTCGTTATCGGGGGAGGGGGGTTTGTCATTAGCTTCGCGCATCTTAAATTAGATTATTTTGAGGAATAATAAAAACTCCTTTTTGTATTGTAGTGCTCCTAATTCTCTAAGCAGCGTTAACAGAATTTCCTAAGACTTTGAAAGTCCCGAAAAATTGCTGATCAACTCCATTGCCAGGGTTATTTTTGTTTGCTTTATAATTTTCTTAAATTATTGTGTTTTGAGCTGTTAAAAACGTTAGTATATATTAGGTTGGAACATAAGTTCGCGCAATCCAACTTTTGAAATTTCTTTCTGAAAATTTAGTGGCCAGATTCCGATGTTCCCTCTTTGCATTTATCTATTGGGTTCATGAGTATGTGGGACCAAAATTACAGGTTTTTAGCCCCAGTAGTTTGGAAGATTTTTGCGTTACTCTCGAGGGCACTTCAAATTTTTGACCCGGACATCTTTCCGAACCGCCATAAAGTCACCATAGGAACTGATCATCACTATAATAATAAGTTCTATCTAACAGCTGCATGCTGAATTAGCCTAAAAAGGAAGCCAAATTTGTTTTGTAAAGGCGGGCCGAAGCGATTTTTCATTTTCGCTTAAATCTAGCTTTAAAAAATGCTAATAGGGAAGCAACGCGATTCCGTCCCACACATCGAACAGAGAATTTTATTGCATATCCGTTCATCCAAAAACATTTTGGTTCTTGCCCGTTTTCCGGTCCGAAAATTACAAAGAAAGAAAAATATTGCGCGAACTTTAGTTCCAACCTAATATTTTGATGCTCTGCCGGGTCGCAATGATCTAGTCCCCAAAAGTATGAAATATTGAAAAATTCACGACATTAAGCTCCCCCCCCGCTAACGAATCAGAATCATTTTTTTGTACATACGGTTACCCCTAACGACATGAAAATTCGACCAACCTTCGAATTCTCGACAGCTTCCTCGGCCAAACGCTTCATATTTTCCGCAATTTTCTCGTGGATGTGTATGACCATCCCCTTCAGTCCATCATACTGCTGCTCCACTGCTTCCATGGTTTGCTGCTCCAGTTTCTTCAACTTCTCCGAGCCAACATCCACCAACTCGTGAGTTCGATGCTGACGAACCGAGCATGTGCCACAGAGGATCGAATTATTGCAATTGGCGCATGAAAACATTTTTGACGCTAGAGATTCTTCGCCGCATTCTCGGCATGGCGTCATTATGTCTTCCGTAGATTCTATCGATGGCTTTTCCGACTTCAGCAACTCAACTTTCTCTTCCTTCACATAGTTGGTTTTTCCTGTCACTGCTTCAGATGAATTCTCCGGGGTTTTTTCGTTCGCGGTTTCCTTTTTCACCCGGACGCTTTTCTCTTTTCCGGTCTCTGTCTCTAGCGCTTGGCCCAGATAAACATGCGCTGCGAAGGAAAGCTCGCAAAGATGGCACTCATTCTGTAGATCGGTCTCGTAGTAACAATCCGGGCAGTAGACGCTTGAGCACGCCACAACCAACCGGTTCTTCGTTGGCCCTAACCGCTTATGGCATCGCGAGCAGGTGGGTTTTTTTATAAGGCCCGGCTCCAAGAAGGCGGAAAGTTTTTCAATAGTCTCGCGGACTTTCTGTTCCCATTCCTTGTAGTTTTGGAGTACTAGCTCTCCCGCGATGCCGGGATCCCGGCAATTGCGAAAATCACCGTCCATCATGTCCTGAAAATCCTGCAGCCATTACATTGTATGTCTGTCAGATGCAAATCACAATCTATCCACCTACCGGGCATGTAATGCCGCCAAAGCATTTTTTGCAAAGAAGTCGTTGACGACAGCATTCATTAATCTCCGGGGTACAGTCTAGAGGGGCCAAACAATCATCACAAGTGAGCTCCTTCAGAGGACCGAGTGCAACCCAACCATGCCGTGTCCGCTTTACGTTGGGTTGTTCGAGAAGTGGGTGCAAATGCTCCAACCTGAATTTGTTTTTTTCATGTTGAAGAACGGGTGGTAATTGAAATTGAGAAAACTACTTCACTGCTGCCGCTCCCCGTTCAGCAATACAGGGTGACCAGTTGAAAGTGTATACAACATGATATTGATAGAAATGGCCATAAAAAATTCCTAAGCTTTTTTAAACCTTTTTGCTTATTGGAGAAAAACAAAACAAGTAATACTAACAAAGTGTCAACAAATTTTGAAGGTAGCTTCGGTTGGGTGCGAAATACAGCTTTCAAAATGTGGCTCGATTCGAAGAAAACGCTCGCCAAAAGGCCGCGACTCCAAGTCGGATACTTTGTTCCGCCCTGAAGCCCCCGAATGCCTTAGTGGGCTCAAATTTTGATAGAATGTAAAGAAGGCTTATGCCTATAGCATGGAATCGAACCGTAATTTTTGGACACAAGTCCTTTCGACACGAAGCTTTTTACGGCGAACTAGTCGGAATAAGAAATCTGCTGCTGAGCTAGGCTCGGACTAGTTTGCTCGTAAAAAGTCGCGGCAAGCTTCCTTGAGGCCCAAATTTTACCCAAAGATGCTTGTTAGCATAAGAATACACACTATCACCATCAATAAGCTCCTTAGTCCGTTTCGCCAGTTTTCGAGCCCCAAATGCCAAAAATCACGCCCATTTTACAAATTAAAGTCAAGTTAAATGATATCAGTATTCTGAACGTTTCGAAACTTACTTCGGGTTGTTTTCTACCGAAATAAATTATTTCATGCACTGCCGATGGCCCCAAAAAAATTTGGATTCAATTTTAAGACTGCAATAGCAAGCCGATGGGAGCTGCGGCCCACGACCGCATAATGAGCCTCCCTTCTGAAGCTCTATCCAAAAATTAATAATTGAATCTATATAAGTTAGAGAGCAGTAGCAGAGAGAGTGTATGGGTTTATGTGATGACCTAACCCATAAACTTTTGTTTTATTCATCAGAAAAGATTGGGTTCAGCGTGCGTCAATTTGTGCAGGCAAAAGTTTTGTATACACTTTCTACTGGTCACCCTGTAATTACCGTAACCCCTCCATTTGGAAACCGCATTGGCAATAGTAGTCCTGCCAACGCGGCCACTGCGAGATTTTCTTCTCAAATGGCCGTGCGCATTTTGGGCAGTTGAAGCACTCTAGCCGCATATCTAGAACACTGTTGGTCGAGAAATATCGAAAGCAATGGATTTTTGCAGAAATCTGGATGAACAAGCGCCAGGGTCTCGTTGTATTGGTAACTCACCAGGAGCCGTTTTCTAATCTAGCAGGGGGGTTTCAAGTTTGGGAGTTTTTTAAAAAACTTTACCAGGAGCTATGCAAAGGCAATGAACAACACGGCGAAAACATTCTGGTTAAAAAGTCAGACTATTTATGGAAAGACAATACATGTAAAAAATTCGGTTTCTATTGAATTCCGCAAGCTCATAGAATCGCCAAAGACATGAAGCTTTTAGAACCCGGTAGTTTTCGAGAGCGTTAAATTTCAGCAACATGCTTTCCAATTGTAAGAGAACTAAACAGTACAGCGGCGTACTTTCTGGAACCAGGCGGATTTTTTACCATTGCGCTGGTTGCGATCGGCGAGGGAGTGCGGATTAGGATGAGGGAGCAGAGAAGTCATTTCATCTCGTCAGCGAAACGTGGCTCCCGACAGCGCCCAAACCGAGCACGAGTTTAACAGGGAGCGGATGTGGTTTTGAGGTTTAATTGCGACAAGGTCCTGCAGCAATTAACTTTATCGCTTCTCTTCCATCAACGTCAAACCGTATTAAAAAACGACCGCTGAGTACAGTTTTATAGGTATCGCGCCCATATCTACTTTTGTTTGTTTTAAGGGCCGGAAGTGTTTATTTTTGAGGACAGTGATTTAAAAAATTTATCGACATGCGGGTTTCTTTCGAAATAATTATTGCTTATGGAACAGGTACAGGTGTCGTTGAGATACGGCACACAAGTCGGTAAGGTAAGGCCATATTTTCGCGAAAGGGTGGAAATCGCTAACTGTAAAGTGTTTTTACTCAGGCTGGCGATTTAGGATGGGACCAAGCCTATTTTGTTCAGATTTTTTTGCTGATTCCGAATCCGTTTTCCAAATTTGCTGCGGACTTCGCGTTCAAAAGTCATTTGGGGTCTAAATGAAGCTTAAAAACGGCATAAATTCTGATGCTGGTCCACTATTCCCTGCCTCGGCCCAGGTATTGTTGTGCCCCTTATCTACCCACCCGAAGCCCCTTTCCCAGTTGGCACCATGGTGCATTGGTAAGCTGTTTGCTTGCCAAGCACAGGGCGGCGGTTCAAACCCCGCCCTGCACAAATTCTTTTGCTTTTTGCACAAAAACCTGATTTTTTGCATAAAATCGTGCTTTGACCTCTAAAACCGTTACCGAGCCAGTTTTAACGTCGGAGGTGATGCAACTTAAAAAAATACCGCAGAAAAATCCAGATTTAGTCAATTTTTTTATTATAAATATCGAATAACTTTTTAAATAAAGGTCGGCAGCAAATTTGGAAACCAGATTCGGAATCAGCGAAAAATTCTGCACAAGATAGGCTTAGTCCCATTCTAAAACGCCAGCCTGAGTAAAAACACTTTACAGTAAGCGGGGCTTTTCTGAACCTTTCAATAATCATCAGGATCATATTCTGGCTATCGAAACGGGAGGGGCAACGAGGGCGGTTCGGGCATTTCCTGCAAACCCGCCGTGATCCGCACGCCCTCTTCTGCCAAACGCACCACGGCTTCATTATAAATCCGGGCATGACCAAAATAGGCCTCGAACTTCTTTTCAAAGTCAGCCGCTCTTTGCCGCAGCGCCTCGCTGAGCACCACCCCATCGGCGTACGACCATTGGTGGCTGATTGTCTAAAGAAGAGTGTAATTGGAGGAATCCTACTATACAGGGTGTCCCAAAAAAATCCCCCCCCCCCCTAGCCGGCCGTAGACCTCCCCGATTTTTACGATTTAGGCACCTATCGAAAGATCTCGGAAAGGCGAGTCCAGCACGTCTTGCCAATTTTCGGAATCTCGAAATTTTTCTATCATTTACTAATGTTTTTGCAATACGGGCGAATTTTCTGATGTTTTTCTGACCTCCAGGTTTTTTACAAAAATCACAATTTAAGAATTTTTATGCCTGTCCTGGCAGCCCGACGATGGCTTTTTGCAAGCCCTTTGCAAGAACAGAGTTCGGATAGCGCTTTAACCGGTTAAATTGCGTTTTGATTAAAAAGCGTGTCCTTTTTGCATGAAAAATGCTGGAAAACGAGCAAAAAATTTCGATATTTGGAAAATCGGCGAGACGTGCCGGACTCGAATTTTCGAGAGCTTTCGATAGATACCTAAATCGTAAAAATCGGATAGGACTGCGGCCGGCTAGGGGGGGAGTGGGATTTTTTTTGGGACACCCTGTATATAAAAAAATAGTGTCTGTGTGTGTGTGCCACTTTGCATGCAACTTCCGTCAGCGTGTCCGGAGGATATCTCTAGAGGGGAGGGGGGTGCGGAGGTGTTTGATACGTCATTAGATGCGTAATAGGATGGAGATGACTGCATACATTTCAGATTTTGTAAAATATGTTGTTTTCGACATTAAAATTCAGTTTTTCGTAAAAATTCGGCCACCTCTTTGATAGGATAAAATTAGCCTACGCCGGAAATTGCAGTATATAAAGGCACAAAGGCCGCGTTTTTTATTTTTTTTGTCATCGGAATTGAGGCACAATTATGCAAAATAATGAACATCATTGGATTAGACGCGGCCAGGGTTGAAAAGTCGCGAAGCGGCTTTTCAACGCTGGTGGTGAAATAAAACATTTAAGCGGCGATGTTGCAGCAAGCCAGCTTTTTGTGAAACACTTTGGAATATTAGCACGCGTGTTTAAAGCAAGCACGCCAGGATTTTTTGTAAAGGCCACTAGATGAAAATTGATGTATTCGATTTTTAAAACTAACAGTTTTTTATTCTAGGGGTCGTCTTTGGTGCATTTTCAGCGCACAAATC